TGACCTTCCCTTTAGCCCCTTACAGCTATAGAGTATCACAACATTTGAGAGGGAGGATAGAAATTTAATTAAGTTCTTACTCCTTTTTGATTCCTAAGGAGTGATTGAAGGTGTCTGACAAAAGGCTCAGGACACAAAAATCATCTTTTTGTCCATCAGTCAAATCCGGGGTGGTAGAACATGTTTTACCATGGGAACATGACTCAGAAGTATTGCCTCCTTTCTAGCTCAGCTCTATGCACCATTTGGGCCACTCATGAACCACCAGTGTGCCCTGCCCTGGGGCATGTTTGTTTAGGAAGTTATTCTGGTAATACCTGCCTTCTAAGTTTCATTACGTGAGTATGCGTTTTCAGACCCTGAAATGCAACTGTATGAACTAAAGAGGAAGAAATTGAAAGCTTCCTAATCAAACTTGCACCTTGAGTAGGCTTTTAGATGCTTAATTTGTCTGAAAAACAAAATGCAGACCTTTATGAAACTGCAGGCTTACCAGGTTTCAAAGAACAGTTCTACGGAGTACAACTGCTATATTTTAAAAAATCTGTTGATTTGCATGACTAAATATGAGGAGTACGTTCCTTCTTGTGCTATTTTCATTTGATAAAGGAAACCGTATCAAGTGCCTCCATCTCTGATGCAGAACCACCCCGTACACAAGAGGTAACACAAAACTGTTCCAGCTCAGACGTTGTTCACAAGGCTGCCTTCCCACAAATCCACCCAAATCACTCCATCCTCCGCTCTTCTCAGAGGTTCCTCTCATTTTAATCCTGAAACAAAAACTAAATCCGAAGTTTCCACGGAAAATATCGTAATTAAGATTTCTTTAACAGCTTGCATACAAGACAAATGCTCCTTTACCCAGCACTGCTGTCAAAAATGAGACGTTCCCTTATCAGAGTTCAGTTCACAAGATACAATAAGGGGAAAAAAATAAAACCCTGTAATGACAAAAACAAAGCAGTTTCAAGTTTCTTTAAAAAAGCCTAACCACCCCCTACCCTCTCTGTTCAGCTGCAGCAAGGTGAAAGGCTAAATGTGGACAGAATGGTAATATGTAAGCGGTTTCTAAGCTTTCTGGTGGGAATACTTAACAGCATAAGTATGTTTCCCCTGGAGACCTTCTCCACCATTTGGTCCAATTTCTTACTCCAAGAACTGAACCAATTCATGATGTAATGCTCTAGGGAAAACATTCCTCTCAAAAAAGAGTATCTTCCTAGGGAGAAGTTTGAAGAAAACATCTTAATATTGTTTAAACAGCTTTTGGCACAGTCATACTACTTGCACTGCATTCAATGCTGAAAGCAGAGAAAAGCACACTAAAAATATGGAAATGGAAAGTTTTAGGATTTAGTTTAAGACTTCTCTTCAACTACCAACTCAAGCGTCCAGCTCTTGCTGATCCTTAACGGAATGAGAAAAAAAGACATTTTCAGGAGCAGAGGTTTTCTTTGTAATAAAAGAGGAACAATTTGTAGCTTTGGCTATTCTGTGTGTTAGCGTGAAACCACATAATTAATTCTGTCTGTGGCCTTATCATTTGCTTTAACTCCTGTACAAGAGTGCAATCCCAAGGCACTTAACACCAAAGCTCTGGTTGTGCCTTAAACTTTTTGTGGCTCTACTCGGAGGCACTATGTTACAGGCACTGGAAGTTCCTAGAAGCAATGCTTCCATTTGCTATCTTGTGTATACACATATTCTCCATGCTACAACTGCATTGCTTCCCTTTTTGGACCATTGCTCTGCAAACCAACTTGTCACATTCCAAACCAGGGACAGCAGAGCGCTGTGAAACAGGAAAACTCAGCAAGGTACAACAGATGTCTATCTACTGTGAGAAGCAAGCAGCAGGAATGATGCAAGAGACCAAAGTACATTTAAGGTTTATATCCTCTAGCTTATATTATGCACTGCTCAGCATTAAGCTATATGTACCTTACGTCCTGGTTATATAAACCTCACAAAACTTTCCTTGCCAAACGTGCCATGAGTACTCACAATTTTTTTCTTGAGGGGAGCATGAAAGGACCTTTTTATTAATCATAAATTAATGTTAGTAACCACATAATTCCTTTTTCTCAATAGTACCTGTGAAGACACTGAGCATCTCCAAGTCATACTTCAAACAGGAATTCCAAAACTCTGTATTACTGACCTTCTGAGGATGGCACTGAGCACATTTGTTTGTCCAAATATTTCTATAAGGTTGGCAAATTATTTATGACAGAGCGAAGCACGACTTCAAAAGTATCTTCAGTATAACTCAGTTGCTGTAATGCTGATATTAGATTTCTATTTTTCATCCTGTCGCTACAATACTGGCAAATAAATGAAAAAAAAAAAAAAAACAAAGCAAGGAAACTGAGTAACACTTAATTCAAAACCAGCATAAAAATCAAACCCTGACCTCAGAAGGACCAAAAAGCCCAATCTTCTAATTCTGAGCTCATTTAATTTACTACATCATCAGGTCTTTCAAGGAACGACCACCATTTGTCCCAGCAAAATCTCTTCAGGTTTTGAGATACCTTGTTTGTATTTTCAATGATTTCACCATAATGATTTTGAAAGTGAGGGCCATTTATCTACTTAAAAACCTTTGGAGTTTTGTATTTCATTTGCACAAAGGGATTTTTGCTTGGAGGGTGGGATTGTGAAGAACAGAAGATTTGTTTGCAGGGCTGGCAGGGAGCTGTTGTCCAGGCATGGTGTCTGCTTTAATAGTTTATGCTTTCAGTTCTTCGTTGTTACAATACCTGAAGGCCTCTGGGCATAGGTGTCTAAATTTAAAATTATTGTTATTAATAATAAATACGGTTGCTCAAGCTGTAAAACACGTTGCACAACGTGAATTATCTCAGTAACACACAGCAAGGTCTTCACTGAACTGATTGGCAGTGCCAAAAACCAGCAGTAAGCCTCCTCCATAAAGAGGGTATTTAAACTAAACTTTAGTGGAGTTGGAAGCCAGTCCATAGCAGGTTTCTGTCAAGAGGTTTTACTGCTGGTTTGCTGGGTCTCATGTTTGTAGAATTTTCAGTTTCTTGGTAGACCCTAAACTTTTAAAGCCTTGAATCACAGCTATTTATCACCCATCAGGGAGCTACATAAAGCGTGTTTTCCTTCAGAATGACTATTTTCTTTTTTTTTTTTTCCTTTCTTAAACCCTCATTTAAAAAAAAAAAAAGAGACAAGAATATTTTTTAACATTTACAATATATCCCAACCAACAAGGATTCTAAAAAACTAAACAGTATGAACTGCAAAAATTAATGCCACCTGCAAGCTGTAAATATGTGTATTATTTAATTTTTTTCCAAGTATTTTCTTTGGCTGCTACATTCAGCTGAACAAGGCCTAAAAATTGTCAAACTGAATTCTTGTTTAAGAGTAGAGCTCTAACTACTGCCAGTTTGAGTGAAACACACATCCAGGTTTAGGGAATATGTTTTGTTTGTTTTGGCTGCAGCACAGGGTAGAACATTTTCCATCCCATCCGAATGCAGTCAAAAAGGTTTTGAAATATTGCACAATAAAAGCCATTCATTATATCTGTCTCCTCTCCCTTCCAAAAACAAAAATGGCTGACCAGTTCCAAATCTGTGCAGGGGGCAGGAAGATGGGAGTCAAGGGGTCACTGGAAATAACCCAAGACTAACACCAGGTTTTTCAGGTTTGAGTTAGGGAATATGTTCCATACCCTCATTCCCAGTGCACATAGGTTTTTCTTCTTCTCCCTGCAAAGCTTGGTTAAAGTAGTTAATTGCTCTGTTATGCACAATTTACAGGACTTAATTACAAAACTAATACATTAGCCTTTTTGTCTATAAGTTAAAGGCACAACTTCATCTTTTCCACAGGGACACAGCAGAGTGAGACCTCACCTTACTGCGAGTTAAAACTGTGATTTGCACTATTTACCTCCTGATCTTAGAAGGGTGCAATCTGAAGGAATTTTCAGCCACACACTGCAGTTGTTTTCCAAGTTATTTCCATTGTTTACATACCTGTTAGCTTGAAAATGAAATTTCTTCCACTGCCCACTCCTGTTCCTATGTGCTTAAGCTATACTTGGCATACCTCACTGGCTTTATTTTTTTCTTCTTCCTCTCTCCATCTCCTTCTATGTAGATCTACTTTGTTTGCTTCTTTGTGCGTAGGTCACCTCATCACTATTATTTCCCTGGTCTTAGTGAATTGTGAGTGCTAGAGGATGCAGAGCTGGAAAGAAAAGCTACAGCACGAAATTCTAAAGAACCACACAGTTATCACAATTAAATGACTATAAAATAGCAACATTTACATGCAGCACGGAGGCGTTTCAATATCCACTTTATCAAATTGGTCAGAAGCAAGGAGAGAAAAATAAACCAAAGCCACGAAGCTTTATTTACAATTATTTTAAAATACAGCTTATCAGTAAATCAGAAAAATGGCACAAGTTGTTCTCACTGTTTACTTTCTCTGCCTACAGTAACTACCAAGTTGAGAAAGTTGTTTTAATCCTGTTAAATCACACGTGAGAAAACTTGAAAATATAGTCTGCATTTTTGTAACTGATTCTTAAGTATGGCAAAATATTAGCATAAAATGATGACTGGGAAAGAATAATATAAAGACCCTGCTCTTTCACTTTAAAGTTTTCTGCAGGAAGGGTGGAACACCTCCCCTACAAGGACAAGCTGAGAGCTGGGGCTGCGCAGCATGGAGCAGAGAAGGCTCTGGGGAGAGCTGATAGCAGCCTTCCAGTATCCAAAAGGGCTGTGAGAACCAAGGGGGCAGACTAGCAGGGTCTGCAGTGACACAGCAAGGGCAGATGGTTTCAAACTACAAGAGAGGAGATTTAGAATGGATATGAGGAAGTTTTTAAAATAAGGGCAGTGAGGCATTGGCACAGGCTGCTCACAGAAGTGGTGGATGCCCCATCCCTGGGGACAGCCAAGGTCAGGGGATGGGCTCTGAGCACTGATGGAGCTGCAGGTGTCCCTGTGCACTGCAGGGGAGTTGGACTCGATGACCTTTAAGGGTCCTTTTTAACTCAAATGATTCTATGAAAACATGTGTATTACTGTTCTTTGCATTCTTGACTCACTAACATAATGCAAATTTAAGAAAAGACCATCCCAAGTGTGATGTACTTCTTGCTAGCTCCTGCATAGTCAGCTATCTACAAACACATGAAGACTGTGCTTCATAGGACAGAGTAAACAAAAGCAATATGATTACTTTTACTTATTAGTGACATCATAATTACATTGGACTGGCAAGATAATCAGCCTTTCTAGGACTCACCACTTGTTCTGTTAATCAGACCCGTGATCGATTCATGGCAATCAGCTGAACACAGTTCCCTGGCAGTGTCTACTCAGAGCTACTTGAAGCCATTTCATGTCTATGCAATGCAAAATGTAAGGTTGGTGAATACTTTGAAATACAAAATGGCCTTTTATAATAACCCTCTCTTCCTTTGGAAAAACAGGGAGAACAAATGAGAGCTGAAAGAGACTGTCCAACACCATAGATTTCTTTATAGTGCTGCAATAGCTGAAAACTAGAACTACACAGTTAAAACATCTTGCACACAGTATACCTACAATTAAATTGCTATATCCTTACTCAGAAATAAAGGCAAGAGACCAGCCTGGAAAGTACTTCTGCTCGCTGGATAAGGACTGCAAAGTTGTTGGTCCTTTAAAGATTAATGGTAACTCAGAACAGCACTGTTCACTCTGCGGTCCACACTTCTGTGTAACACCACAGCCATCAAATCATAGGTTCCACAATTGTTGGGGTCTGTAGAGATGGTTTGCCTCAGAAGAGCAAATCATGTGAGAGCTGAATGTTTAAAATACTAGAGGACCATCTCATTACCTCACTTGAAGGGCTCTTCCCTGATTCCCCAGTTAGTTCCCTTGCTACACAGCCCTCAAAGTCAGCAAATCTACTCCCTATTCCATGACAAATTCTGGCTCAGACCTTCATATTAGCCAGTCTCAATTCACTTTGTAACCCTAATCTCTAGCAATCAGCAAACACAGCCAGAAGGGACCTTGAGAGCCTGTCCAGGCCCCATCCTTACCCCAAGGAAGTATCGTATGTCATTTCAGACAGATATTTGTTTAAACTGTTCGTAAAAGCCTCCAGTGATAAAAAGATTCCACAGCTTCCCAAGGCAATCTACTATCTCTGGTGCTGGAGCTTCCTCTTGCTGCTTAACCAGATTTTTTTTTTCTTCCTAATTTAAAAACATTTATTGTACCATTTAGTAGTGACAAAGAACCAACCATTAACCTCCACCACACTTCTGCATAACTGAAGACTTGCCTCCTCTCAAGTCCCCTCCATATTAAACCCAGTTACTGTAACCTCTTATTTTCTGCAGGTTCCAACCTCACCTTCATGTGAAGCAAACTGCCATTGAGTACGTGGCATCCAACTCTTTATTGACCATGTTGTGCCAGGAGGCAAATCCCAGCTTTGTTTTTTTCTTACCCTGGCTCTTCTACTTCTGATTTTATTTACACTTCACATCTGAAGTGCACTTAACACATCCACCCAAGGAACCTCAGGGGAGAATACTCTTCCACTGCTGCTGTGAGTGATGCATAGGACAGCAGCACCACAAGAAGTGTGTTCTAGGCAGATTAAGCCCTCTAGTATCATCCATGCTAATTTACTGCCTCTCCCTTCAGGATATCTCAATGCTTGACCTGTTTAAGGCAGATCTTTAACCTGACATTCACAGCCTCAAAAGGTTTGCCTTGCTGCGTGATTTAACAGGTAGACCTTAAAATTTTTGCTGCAACTCTAGAGAGCAATGCTGTATTTTAAAGTGCTATATGATTTCCACATGTAAAGTCATATCTGAATACAGTGCCTAAGTGTTTCACTTCTCTGGTATTGACTAATTTCAGTGCTTAGTTTGTTATTTTGATTTTTCTGAACGTTAAATGGTAGCAGTTATTATTACTTAGTTCTGATGTCACACAGCATCTGTTCAAAGACTTCATACATTGCATTTTCAAAATAATTCAGCTATGACCACAAAACTCATGTCAGAGTGCCCTCTCCTGGTAAGCCAAAATCCTGTTATCACAGCAAAGCAGCCCAAGTAACCGTGGCCATCTCTATTCCAAGCCTAAAAATTGCACTGTGACACAAATACAAAGCCCAAAATAAAACATCAGGGAGTCTGTTTTGACAACTTCAGTAATGTCTCTATACAAGTACAAGATGAACAGCATTTAATTAGTGAAGTTTCTTTCACGTTGCTTTAGGACTTCGTGTCTCAGGAAAAGCTGATGATGTCTGTAGAGAAAAGTAAAACATGCATAAAAATGAAACTGTTCTGTTTGCTTTCCAGCTTTATAGAAGCAGCCAAGTTCATGAAATATTTTATTCCATCTCAATAATGGTAAAAACAAGGTCACAGAAGAGACCATTTTCAGCAGGAAGCTCTATTTACTGAAAGGTGACACAGGTATTTCACTGGGGCTGACAGAACAGAATGAGAAATGAAAGCAACACCAACTATTTAAACAGGACCTGCAGTTACCATTTCTTATTTTTACACTGCTCAAACCAGAAGTACTGAAACAATAAGATGACAGGTCAGCTGAGTATTATGCAGTGTATGCACAGCACACACACAGGATTTTAAGGGCCCAGAAATGAAAAATCAGTTCTAAGTTACTCAGAATATTAATAAGGAAATAACAAGTAACAATTTAAGTGAAATAGAGAATTAGTATCTTATTTCTAGTCAAACTCACAAAAAGAACATAAGAATCTAATACTGACCTTCACTTAAGAAAATGAGAGGCAGCTGAAACCTCACTACGTGGTAATGCTATTTTGAAGAGGTATGTTCATTTCTTCAGAGTATTCTTGGCTACTGCTGTCTCTCCTATATACAGAATTTGTTATGCTCCTTTTCCTGGTTTGAAACCAAGTTCTTGTTTCTTGAGGTGTGGATACACAAATGCTTTTCCTCCTCCTTCTGCAAGGACCACCAGCAACATGAACAGATTCACTGTTCTCCTTTCCTGATGCTGCAAACTGGATGTGATTTTCTTCTTGATGGTGAGTATTCTCAGATTCTGTCAGGACAGATGTGCTTTTTCTTCTCCTGGTTTTACAGGCAGGAGCTAGCAGAGAAGGGTTCTGCAGAATCTCACTGGTTACTTCAATCCATGCAAGTCCTTCAATTTCTGCATCTTTCTGTAGTCTCATGCTGCGTCTCACCCGACTTGTTTCACTGCTCATACTTGACTTTCTTCTCAAGGGCTTTTTTAAGGAGTTACTTTTTAGCTGTGGAGCAGATAAAACTTCTTCAACATCAAAAGAAAACTGAAGGTCCTCTCCAGCCATTTCAAAATGAGACTTTTCAGTAGGAGGAATATTCACAGTACTGCTACTTCTTCTTCTTGGTGGCCTACCTCTTGAAGACCTTTTAGGTGGACACTCAGTTCTTTGGAGAGTCTCATGTACATCAGTGTCCTCTTGGTTTGGAAATTCTAGCTCTGACAGCCACTCTTCCTTCTTTGGGAAATCTCCCTGTAATTTCTCATGTTCTATCAAGAAATCACTTTCTGTTTTCCCTTTTAAACATGCCGTCTCTTCAGCTTGCTGGAAATATGTATTGAGAACATCATTTGTGTCTGGCACATTTGGAAACTGCAAAGAAAAAAAATTAGAGGCAAAAATAATCCATACAAAATGTGTTTCAAACAGCTGATAATTAAACGGGCGCTCTAGATTTCCTCACTAAGTTGAGTCATTCTCAAAAATAAAAGCTAAACAACTTAAAAAAAAAAAAAATCCAAATTCATGGAACCCCACACGTTGGAAAGAACCTGCTCCAAAGAGGAGTGCAGTTTATGCTGCTTGAGGCCTGTTCAGCCAAGCTCAGAATGACTCCTTGCAAGGATGCAGATTCCATGATCTCTCCAGGCATCCTCTTTCACTGTTTGACCATTAACAGCTAATTATTATTATTATTTTTTTTTAATATAACAAAACCAAGCACAAGACTTACTTTCTAGCACTAACATTAAGTAGATCAGAAACAGACTTCAGATCACCTGAAACACTGTATTGCTGGGGCTGCCTTCTTCCACAGCACCCAGTTCCTCAGAGCTTGGATACACATGAATAACAGGGATGATTTTCTCTCTCAGTCTTTCAGTCACTTGCTCCTGTTGAACATCATTATGAACATCCCTGGGTATGGAAAGATCTAAAAATACAAGGAATGATACATGGTTACTTGGCTCCAGCTGTGAGTGCACGATTTCTGAAGTATTACAATAAAAAGTTTCTAGTATTTTACCACATAGAAGGCTACTAAATAAGCATTCCACATAAACAGCATTAAAAAAAGCTCCCCAGAAAGCTACTGCACATCATGTTCCTATTTGTCAGTATCCAGTGAAAGTACAGAATCTTTTTTTGTGGTGATCTTTTCACTGGAGCCCTGGAAGAGTTAAATTTATGCAGCTGGAGACTAATAATCTATTAGATGCTTTGGACTCTGCTTTATTTATTTCCACTTCATTTTACTCCAGAAGCCATTAAAAGTGAAAAATGCATACTGGGCTCTTTATCTGTGCACAGAACTGTTTTGTAAATAGCTATGGAATAAAAGCAAAGGAATGACTAAGGCAAAATAAGACTAAAGAATACATCACCTGGAAAATGTGCAATTGTCTTTGGTGAATTTGGAGATGAGGAAGAAGAGAAAACTTCTGGAATCTCAAGGATAGGACTCAGAAGAGGTTTCTTTGAAGCCATTTCTCTTTCCCCATATAAAGATTTCTTCACTTTTCTCTTTCTTCTTTTCCCAAAGGTTGTGCGTTTTGTTTTCTGAAGAGATCAAGAGGACCACAATGCAAATATAAGGATCCTTTTGGAAAACACCACAAAGTAATTTGCACCACTACTGCATTTTATGGAAAATAATTATCTCCCTACAAATTATGCCCTGCTTGTTCTGCTCTCTTCATATTAATCTGAAAACTACAATATAAAGAATTATTTCTCCAATGAGATCTGATTTTTGACTTCACCAAATTAAGAAATCAAGGAGTTTTTCAGATCAAAACTTTCTATTTCCAGTTTTATTTGCTCTCCTTTCCAACACACAAAAGGCTCAAATACTTCAGAGGCCTCACACCTTTGTAACTCTTAAAGCAAACTGGAACACAACTGGGCAAGTTCAAAGAATTATCAGCTGTGTGCAGTTGACAAGAGAACCACAAGCTGAAGTCTCAAAAGTTCTGAAGTGCCTTCTTTAACCTACAAGCACTGAAAGCCTGCCAGTCAGCCCAAACAATACGGGGTGATGGTAAGTCAAGGAAAACAAGAGACAGACATGGTGAGGAAAGTATTGGCAGCAACAGGAAACAAAAACATCCTTTAGAAAATCTCTAACATAAACATCAAAATAACCACGGAAAACATACAAGAAAGAAGACTGCTTGTGTGAGATGTTGGGACAGAGAAATAAAGGCAGCATTCACCAATGTCACTGGGCTGTCACTTACTTGCTTCTTTTTGGCAGCAGAGGCAGTCACACTCTTTGGTCTTTGCAGTTCATTCTTCCTTGGATTTTTAACGTCTTTAGCATTCTTAGTGCTGGTTGTTCTGGAGATGCTACAGTCAGTGCCCTCGGAAATGGTGCTGTACTGTTGAAGAGTAGGAATTTGAAGTTATTGGGGTGAATTAAGTGCATGCTTATTTTCTCAAGAAAGGAACACCGTGCAACAGCCCTAAGAAGCCCTCTGTGACTACGTGTCAGTGACCGAAGCCCTTGATCCCATGACAGCCTATGGATATCTCTCTTCCAACTTTGCCAACTCTTTGGAAAAGTTCCTGCAACAGTTAACAGAAATAGTAAACTTAAGCATCAGATTGTAATCCAAGCTGTTTCTAATAACTGAAAATCCACTTCCTGTCAAAAATGAGATTTCCTTTGCTGCACCAAGTGGAGATATTTCCATCTACCTGGGTATCTATAATTCTCATATCTGAGGATGCAAAAGCTCTGATGTACTTCAACAGATATGCAAAAATATCCTTGTTGGAAGAAGTAGAGAAAACAAAACCCCACCACTGAAGAACCTCACCTTCCTTTTAGTAGAGGAGCGAGTCGTTTTCATGTCTGATTTGTCAGTTTCTGCTTCTATACATTAAGAAAATAAGAATATTGGTTCAGATCAACAGAATTCAATCATATTTTGAGAAAATTATTCACACCATTTTAACACTATGCACAGCATGTTTAGATCTTAGCCTTGAGTAAGATTTTGTGCACAAAAAGTTATCAAACATGGCGAGATTAAAAAAAAACCAACTTGTTTTACGAAGTAGATCAGAACAGAACAAAATAATACTCAGTAACAAAATAATTAACACCGAGTTTTCTTTGAGACACAAAATTACAAATATCCTCCTCTATTTTCTTACAGCTTTGCTCACTATTTTAAAACCATCAGTACCACAATATCATAAATCCAGATAGTAAGCCCAGTTATTTGAAGCAGTAAGCCTGATTAGATCGGCCTCTTGTGTGGAAAAACACAAGCTCAAATAATGTCCAGTTAATCTAAACACTAGGCAAACTCTGGTAGCTACTGCAATGACCTTTACAGGAAAGGAAGAGCATTTAACTTCAGGCACAATATATCCCATGTAGAGCAAACAAACAAAAAAAACCAATACAATCGTGTCATCTCTCAGTTTTCAGGTACAGAAAGATGTAGCGTCTAATGACAAAAATACGACTCAAGGTTACCTTCTGTATTTTCAACAGGTAAGAGCTTTTCTGAAACAACAGAGCCCTCCTGCACCTCCTGAGGAGGCTCAATACATTCCTGTAAGATAAAGGAAAAAAGGTAATATGTTGAACCCTTAAAGAGCTGTGAGAAGCTGTGAGAACTGTTGTGCAGTTGTAAAGAAAACGAAAGCTTACATCACTGCAATCGAAGTTTGGCTGAGTTAATGGCTCCTCTGGGAGCCCTGCCCTCGTGCAAGGGCTGCCACGTGCTGACCCCGAGCGGCAGACCGGCGTCGATCCTTTGCGCAATGGAGTATTTGCAGGCAAAGTTTTATCAAATATTTCTGGGCTGAGATCTTCTCCAAAAGTCACTTTTTTCTTCTTCGCCCTTCTGGGGCTGCACTGTTCAGTTCTCTCCACTGCAATAAAATACAGCGACTGCTTAGCAGGCTTAAAGCAGAGCTTTCACAGAACAGAGACTTTTCAAGGCCTTTTTACAGGTCTTAACATTCCCTTTAATAATCACCACCAACCAAACAGCAAAATATTGCCCTTAGACATCAATTCTACAGGAACTTTTAGTTTAGCATTACTATAATATCAAGAAATGACGAAAAAAGAAAATAGAAGTCTAGAATACACCAGCTATCTCTCAAGTTGTATCTGGTAACTAAAATCTCATGAATAACAGGATTTTTTGCAATATTGGTATCAATATCACTATTTTTTATATTAAATATTTTCTGAAGTGTATTTTTTTTCCCTTGGTAACTTCATTTTCTACTTCACACCATACGTTACCACTTATGAGCTACTTCAGTGGTGGTTAATCCATAATGCCCTTCAGATCTTGCAAATCTTCCAATTTACAGAACAACAATGGAAGAAAAAAAGAAAAACAAAAAAAAAAACCTGAATCAAACCTGTTTGCAGCGCCTCACAGATGTGATCACAGAGTGTAAAAGATTCACCTCCTCCTCTGTGAGCAGCATTGTTTGAACATTCCTATCAAATGTGATAAAAGAACCTATTAAGTACCATTTAAGGACTGTCCTTTCTCATATCAAAAGCGGCAATAACTCCCTCTGAAGGCAAACTTTATAATCAGCATAAGAAGAAAGCTTCAAACCGACCACAATACAGAGAACCACTGATAACCATCTCCAGTGCATACAAATAGTCAGGAAGCATCTTAAAACACGAATCAATCCCACTGTGATGTGATTTAATTAACCAACCTTCACACACTCCATCAGTTGCTTCACTGGTGTTTTCTTCAGCACAGACCGCAGCTGGGAGCCGCTCGCCGTGGATTCCGTTAACGAAGCAGCCCTCGTTTGGAGCGGTGTGACAGGCGGCTCGCTTCCATCATATATCCCCACAGCCAGCTCTTCTGCAAAGTTAACCTTTTTCCTGCTCTGATCTGATATGACATTACTTCTGATTTCTTTACTGATACGGGCAGGACTGAAATCTTTAAAGCAAGTACATAAGAAAATTAAAGACTGAAGTAAAACTGAGAAGCCTTCAGCATTAGCTGTATGAAAAGCAGTGTACACCCTTCCACAGTGGCTGTCAACTACATTCAGTGTCTCAAGAAAAATCCATTCTCTGAATTTTTGCTGCTGTTGTGCCATATTTACATTCACATTTTGAGCAATTTATGAAATAAAAATGTGAAAATTGAGCATTACATGAAGATTTCTGGGGAGGATTTCTCTGCCTAGGAGTCTCTCACTCCCCTCTGCTTCACAAACACAAAATGCTCAACTGTATTTTTTCCTTAAGAACGGCCCAAACAACAAAATTAAGGGCTGAATGGACTGCAATATGAAGTAATTTTTTTCCCTGTCATTATATGTTCCGTTAGCTTTTATCTCAAACTTATTTCAGGTTTCTGCTGCATTAAAAGTTGTAGCCAAGATGATGAGCATGGAGCGAGTGCTTGTCAAACATCTCTTTAGATACATTCTAATTGTTTTTCTTTCTTTAATAAGAATATAACAAGATAGTAATAGTGATGAATCCTCTTACCACGGCTTGTTTCTAAGATATCTCTAATTAGAACAGCCTCCGAATACTCGATAGGACCGCCTTGCTTATAAGTCTGTTCCTAGAGAAGTTACAAGAACAGAAAGATGATACAAATAAGCACACATATGATAAGGCAGAGGTCAAACTGATCTGCTGAGTTTTGTGCAGCTCTTCACAAAACTGACATTTCTGACATCTGTGTTTGACAAATGTGTGAATTCAACGTGCCACACAGAGACACAGCTGTGGACTCACAAGGAATTTACACATATTGAAATTTTACTAATAGCATAACATGAGCCTTCTTTGTAATTATCAGAATAACCTTGCTGCTTACAGCATTCCCACCATCCATAACACAGCATCTAACCAGATTTTGCTTCCCTTCACAAAGCAAATTCTTCCAAGGGAGATTTGCTGTGCAGTTTACTTTCTTTGCCCACACGTGGATAAATACCTTTGAAAGAGCAGCCGGTTCAGTGACATCGGGCTGTAAAGACAAGATGGTGCATAACCTCCTACCAGACTTATTGCTATTGCTCAAGTTTTCTTTCAAATTTTCTTTGAAATCAGCTCCATTGCAGTCAGACATGAAAGCTTCACTCTTCTGATCCAGACTGTGTTCTTTTGTGACAGGTGCTTTGTTCTGAGCTACTGTGATTAAAAATAAACCAATTTCAGATTATTCTGTTCATGCTATTTTTGTGTTTCTTCACACACGCACAAAAGATTAAAGAAGGTATTTTTTGAATTAGTAAAAAAAAAAAAATAAAAAAAACATGAAATTTTTACTTCTACTTTGAAAATAACATTAGCAAATCTTCAATAAATAAAAAAGTTCTATAAATGCTATCAAGACCAGCATAGAATCACAGCAGTACAGCCTTCTCACAGTTGCCACAGCGTTGCCCTGACTTGCTTTTGCAATATGTACTTTTTAAATTAGGAAATAAGGAAATTCACAGTAATGGAACCCAATTTCTAAATGTACCTAAAAGCTGTTGAACAGAAGATTTCACATCACATTGAAGACAGGTAAGAGTTACAATCAAGAAAACCTCAAGCCAAGCAAGAACTCCCAAACCATCATCAGCTCTCACAAAAGAAAACATTTTCAGTGTCGTTTCATATTTATTGGCTGAAAGGAAGCCCTAACATTTAAATCAATGAACTTACAGCAGCCATCTTCCCGAAGAGCAGCAGATACTTGTGAGAGTCCAGAGAAACCCGTCTTCCCTTCAGCCTCTTGAACTGACTTAAAAGTTCTTTGAAAGATATCCATTTTGCTCCTCAGTGACCTGGCAGACTGACAAGGACTAGCCTGCTAAAAGAAAAATCAGTGTCAGCAGACACTTTTTCCAAGATGACAAGCAATTTTTTCAGTTCTTATTCATACCTTTGGCATAAAGCACACTCAGGGAAGAAGCAAGTATTTTATCTCAGTGCTGCTTTACTCATATGGTCAAAAAAGGAACAGCATCAAGAAATTTGTTGTTCTCTTTTCTAATCTGTCCCCTAAGGCCATTTCCAGAATTTATTTACTGTGAGTCTGTGTTGGTTTGAATTAAAAACAAGTCTGACTTCAAATTAAACAAAAAAAGAAAAAAGAAACATCACTGACGTTAGTATTTACTTAAACCTGAACCGTCCAAGTTTAATTTGCCAGATATTTAAGTGCGGTGAATGCAGACAAATGAAGGTTATGGTAAGTGAAAATAGACAAAAAAGATTCCAGACTCTACAGAAACAAAACCAGCATCAAATTCCTATTTTAAAATAAGGTGTCCAAGGAAAATGAACAAAATAAGGCCACAGTTATTTCTTCTACTGATCCCTTCCTTGGATTTTATTTTCTTTCTGCCAGCAGGTGTTAAATTGGAAGACTTGCATATTGATCCCTAGGGGAATTAAAATGATGCATTAGACACTTGAGAACGACCCTCACCTGTGCAAAATCTTCTTTTTGCCTGTTGCTTTTCTGCTGAGCAAGATATTGAATGAGGCTATTGTTTTCTGGAGACCCTCGGGCTCCAATGGCTGATCTTCGTCTCAGCTTTAGTGCAGCTGGAGACTTAGCTGAAACAGAGGCAGGAGGGAAAAAAATACAGTGAAGATGCACAGCAGAACATTGTTTTAATGTTGGGGTTTTTTTTAAAGAGTGTTTTATGTTTATTTATGGAAACAACCTTATTTAGCTGCTTGGCTCAGAAAACAGTTAGAGAATCACAGAATCACCAAGGGTGGAAAAGATTGACAAGATCATCCAGTCAAGCCCTTCTCTTTCATGTTGTTCTTCAATCAAGTCCCTGAAAACAGATTCTAAAACTGCGTACAACAGAAAAATAAGACCTGGGCCTCTGTTTTTCCAGGTAAGAAAATAAGAAAGAATAAAAAGCAACCATACCGTATACCAATAGAGAAACTGAAGTGGTTTTTTTTTTGTTTTTCAATTGCGAATTTAGAAACACAAACAGTACTTGCAGGGCTCACCTGACTACTCCCATATTAAACTCACTGACAGCTGATCACCAGAACAGAAGAAAAGTAAAACAGAATTAGAGCAAATAGGGAATGAAGTCGAATTCCTACCCTTGGACTTACTCTAACTCAGCTGGTCACCATGAACCTGACTGAACTCGGAAGCTTTTGATAAGGGATTGGGCTGGACGGTCCTCAGAGAACAACAGACAGCACTGATCACTCCAGCCTTGCCTTACCTGTAGATCCATTAACAAAGCTTTCTGGAGTAATCCCAAAATCAGCAGTTGTTACAGTTGCAAAATCAACACTTATCCTCCTCTGTTTCTCTGATAATCCACGGTATGATTTTTCTTCTGCTTTGACTCTTGCAGGCGTCGAGTAGCACTCATCTCCCAGAGGCACGGGTCTACCTGAAACATTCTCCTTGCTGCTCAGTGGCCAGGCAGCTTCACCAACCACAGCCCTTCTTGGAGTATCAGAGGGGCATTCTGTGCCCTGATGGCTCTCAGCATCCCCTGCATCGAGGTGGGATCCCCGCTCTCTCCCATTGCTTACATTCTCTTTCTCAGATGCCATTTAGGCTTTGGGCTCAGTCACTTTGCAAAGCTTCCGCTCTTCTGACTGGGATCTCTTCCTTCACTGCAGGATTTCTGCTCTCATTGCTGTCAGCTTCCAGCACAGCATCTATCACCTTTGACCACAACGAGTCTTAAGCCTAAAAAACCGCCGACTTGCTCTTTGTTCTCCTACAAAGGCAGCTCCCTGTCAAAAAGGACAAGAAGTTTTAAGCTATTTGATAAGGAAAAGAGTCCTCCGACGATGTGAAATGACTGCAGAGCCAGGAATTCCCCGACGGGGGAACAGGGAAAGCCTTCAGCCCAGAGCACACAGAAACGGCCAAGGAAACAGGGCCGTGCTTTACTTCAAACGTATAAATCCCGCGTTTAAACACGCGTTTTAAACGCAATCACATCGCAATTTACAACAAGTACGAGCAGTTCAAAGGGGAGGGGAAGCTGTTTAGGACGCTCACATATTTCGCATTCGGTTTCTCAGATTTTAAAGCTCAGGGAAACGGGCCGGGAGCTTTCGTTTCCACAGCAGCCCACGCGGCGACGCGTTCGGTTCCACGAGCAGACAAGGCAGCGCAGGGCGGAGCGGCAACACGGGGCATTTTATTCCCGCACCCCTCAGAGCTTCCCGCTCCCCTCACCACAGCCCCCGCTCCCCTCAGCCGCCCTCAGCCGCCCTCAGCTGCCCTCCGCCCCTTCAGCCGCTCGCGCCTCTCGCGTTCAAAGCGCGGCGGCTCACTGACCGTTACTCTCGCGCCGCGGTGCCATTTTGAAAGCAACGGTCAGCGCCGCGAGCCGCATCCGCGTGACAGCGCGCACCAATCGCGGGCAGCGCTCGGCTTCAAGGACCCAACTCCTCCTTTGACTGGCTGTTAGCAGCGCTGTCCCCGCCCTCCAACCCGCCTACCCATCGTTTCCCCGCCCCTCTGGTGGGACGCGTTTCTCATTGGCCGGTGGCTCGGCTGCGATTGGTCTCCGTTCCCGTCGCTTAGGGACCGCTGCCTTCCGGGTTCGGCGGCAGGAGGAGTGGGGCGCCGCCGGCGCAGCATGAGGCGGGTCACGCTGTTCGTTAACGGCAGTCCCCGGAACGGGAAGGTGAGGGGCGGGGGTTGCGGGCTGCGGGTGGGCTTCGGGAAGCTGCGTGTGGATTTCTGAGGTGTTCTGCTTTCCTCTGCTCGGTTTGGGACTGGAGGGCTGGCCGCTGCGGCCGCGACTGGGGCGCTGGAGGCTGGGGTTGGGGCCGGGCCGGGGCTCAGGCCGTGTGCGGGACCGCGAGGGAGAGCCCCGAGCTTCTGGCTGCGGCTCTCTGCAGCTCAGCTCCTCTTCAGTGGTGCTGTGCTAATGGAGCCGTGCCCTGAGCAGGTCAGGGATGTGCTGCGGCCTTCCCGTGCTGTGCTTTCTGTTGGACAGCTGGTAAATAATCCTCCTTCCGCTCTGCTCAGAGCTGTGGGGCGGCGTCTGTAGTGAAAGCAATGGGTTTTAAGGCCCAACATTTTTCTGGGATGGCAGCAGCCCCAGTTTGGCTCCCTTCTCCTTGCAGGTGGTGGCTGTGTATGGCACGCTGTCGGATTTGCTGTCTGTGGCGAGCAATAAGCTGGGAATCAAAGCAACCAGTGTTTACAATGGGAAAGGTGGTCTCATCGATGATATTGCTTTGATTAGGTAAGATTGATCCCATAAATGCTGAATCATGGATGGGAGATGGGCATGTCTAGCTTGAGAAGACTCCAAGGAGACCTCATGGTGGCCTTTCAGTACTGGAAGGGAGTTTACAAGCAAGAGGGGGACTGACCTCTTACATGCTGTAATAGAACAGAGGGGAACAGCGTTAAACTGAAAGATGAGATCTAGGTTGAGTGTTAGAAGAAGCTGCTTACTCAGAGGGTGGTGATGCTCTGGCAGTGCTGCCCACAGAAGCTGTGGATGCCCCATCCCTGCAGTTGTTGGGAGGACAGGGAGGGGCCTGGACAGCCTGATCTGGGGCAGAGGGATTGGAGCTCCATGGTCTTTAAAGTCCCTTCCTAAGCTGTTCTGTGAATAACAACTGCTTTTCATAAAACCAGATCTTTTCCAGCCTGTATACTCAATGGAATACTCACCCCAAGAAAAAATAATGCTGCCTACAGAACATCATATTTTGATGAATCTGAATTTGATGCAAGCTGCATTGTGTGCTTTTTAATGTCCCTCAGAGTGGATTCACAAATGCCAGGAAGTCCCAATAGTCTGTTCAGCTCTCGGATGAGACTTTCTGAAAAGGAGACAAACTGGCATGGCTTTGGCTTCGTGTAACACTAACCCCTCAGAGTGGGAAGAAAAGGAACTATCTCATAAAACTAAAGCTGCTGAATATCAGAATTGTTCCCTACCTGGCTGATACGGGTCTCTATCAGTAGCATCTCTAGTGCAGCTGGTAGAATTGCAGTCATCTGCAACCTGCAAAGTTAAGAGAGGGATCGGGTTCTTAATTTTAACTAATGGTATCCGATTGTCATGTACCTGAAACTAATCAGGAGGGGATCCCAATGTCGCTTCGATGAACAAAAAGCTGTTTAATCTTTTTTTTGTTTCTCTTCCCCCTGCCCTGTCCCCTTCCAGAGATGATGATGTTCTGTTTGTCTGTGAAGGGGAACCGTTCATTGGTAAGCCTCTAATTCTTCAGCCTTCTGTTTACATAGGCAGATAGTGACAGGATAGGGGAAAGGGATTTAAACTAAAAGAGGGAAAAATTAGTTTAGATGTTAGGAGGAAATTCTCTACTCAGAGGGCAGTGAGGCCCTGGCAGTGCTGCCCAGGGGAGCTGTGGGTGCCTCATTCCTGGAGGTGCCCCAAGTGAGGCTGGATGGAACCCTGGATACCCTGATCTGATGATGGCAGTGGCAGGAGATGGGTGGGCTTTGAGGTCCCTCCAACCCAAGCCACTCTATGATTCTATGCTTTCCTTTAGTGTAAGTTTAAACTTTAATTTTCTAGTGTTTTCAGAAACCTAGTTACCATATGGAGGATTTGGAAATGTTCACAGTTCTCACATCTGCGTTCTTATCACCTGTGTAGATCCTCAGACCGATGCAAGACCTCATGAAGAGCTAACAGGGGCACACACAGACTGGTTAACACTTAATGTTGGAGGTCGATACTTCACCACCACACGGTAAAAATGGGGCTAGTTGAGCTGAAATTAACTTCAGTAAGGTTGCTGTAGTAGTTGGTGTGTGTTCAGGTAGTGAGACTTTGGATGCTCTTGAGGAAGAACAAGAGAAGTCATTTGCTATGGAGTAGGAGACCTTCTGCAGCTTATAATAGGCATTTGTTGCCACCGTTCTGAAATGAATGCTTAAACAGTTCACATGTGCTAAGAGTGGTGAAAAGCCTGAACAGGCCTGCATTTATTCCTGGAACATTTCAGCTAACGAAGTGCTTTGTATTTAAAATACCTTTGATACGCCTTAGATCAGAAGTGTGTTTTGTTTTCTCTTCTGAAATTAAATCAGTACAGAGTTGGAATGCATATCACACAGCACTGATTACCTTCTAGGTGCCAAGGAAATGCATTCCCTCCAGCAAATGGGTCTTGTAGCAAAACTTTCCATTTGAAAAATAAAATTGCACTGCCTTTATTTTCTAGGAGTACTTTGGTTAATAAAGAACCTGACAGTATGTTGGCCCACATGTTTAAAGATAAAGGTTAGTATCTCGAAGTAAAACTCGCCCTTCAAGCTAACGAGTAGCCAAACAGGTAAAAGGCACTATTAAGTTAACGGTTATTGCTGTGTTAAAGTATTAAAAGTATGTTAAAGCATCAAAGCACAACATACGATCGTCTCATGAATTGAAAATAGAACTCCCACCCAGAGTTGATACTTCAGACTCTTTTTTTTTCTAGTTTAGACTTTCCTGACTGTTGTGTTTCACTCGGTTTTGTGAACACCAAATGAGATGTGTTCACCAGTCTTAATGCTGCTTTTGCTCTCGCAGTGGTTCTTAGGCACATTGTGAAATGTGTTTTAGCTATTTATAGCAGGAAGGGGTTGGATGCAAGGGGGGTTTTCCCCTCCACTCCTGTTTTCCTTCCTTCTCTCTAAGAAATGCCCTTTCATGTGGGAGGCTTCAATCCTGTAACCCCTTGGTGGTAACAATCTGAAACTTGAAGCAAACGCTTTCAGATTTAATTATGTGTATTTTGTGGCAACAGATGCTTGGGGAAATAAGCAAGATCACAGAGGAGCATTCCTAATTGACCGCAGCCCAGAGTATTTTGAGCCTATTTTGAACTACTTGCGTCACGGGCAGCTCATTGTAAACGATGGCATCAATCTGCTCGGTAGGTGTTACCTGTACGACACCTCCTACATTAATATTCTTTAAAGGTCTAACTTTGTCCTGAGGTAAATGTGATAAAATCACTGGGGTTTGTGTCTGCTTATCTAAATGTTTGGTGTTTTACTGTGGAGAATTTATTCTCAAACGGTGCCCTGGATTTGGTATCTTAATACCTGTATTTGAGATTCATTTTTTCTCCTTGACTGGAAGCTCGCTTTTCCTCTGTCCCATTGCAGTGTAATATGATGTGCATGGCTGACAGTTCTATTAGCTCATGCATTTGTTAGGCATTTCCTAAGGTTCAGCAGATGCTCTGTTCATCTGTTGGTTACTGTAGCTAAAAGAGAGTTATGACAAACAGGGGAAGTCAGTTGAATTGGCAGTCTTCTGATAGCAAGGTTGGATTAACCTGAAGCTTATGTTCTTGGCGTGGCTGTGCATTGCCTTTTCCAACAAGGGAAGAGTGGTATCTCATTTAAAGGCTCTGTGTAAATAACAAATAACTGCTTTGTTTTGTTAGGTGTTTTGGAAGAAGCCAGGTTTTTTGGTATCGATTCATTAATTGAACATCTAGAAATAGCTATTAAGGTAACTTGCTTGCTTTTATACATGGATGTGCATGTCCTGCTCTTCCAGGCAATACATAATTTAGTCCTATCCGTATTAGCTTCTAAACAACTCTCTCAACAGAACTCACAGCCAGCAGAGGACCACTCTCCTATATCTCGAAAAGAGTTTGTGCGATTCCTGCTGGCAACCCCAACCAAGTCTGAGCTGCGATGCCAGGTGTGGAAATGCAAAGTTTGCCTCGATCTGTTGTGTTGGTGTCAGGTGCTGGGATGCCCTGCAGCATCATGTGATGATGTGAAATTCAAGCGTGTGCTTCCCCACCCCTGCCTTCCTCTTTTTAACTGAGCTTTGATTCCAAGAAGCAGAGTAACTTTAGTATGAAATTTGAGTGCAGTGTTTGGGCTGCTTTACTTCAGATCAGTTTGTTGAGCTGTTCTATTTAAATGTAGGATGCACTCTAATAACTAAAGTCAGTGCTTTACAGCTTCGCATTAGCTTTAATCTTATGTAATAGCATAGGTGCTCTTGTTGTGCATGCACGTATCTTTGCATGTAAGAAATGATGCTCTGAACTGTTCTGTATTCAGAGCTGCGCCTTACCTTCTGTAACTTTTGGGTTGGTTTTGGTTTTAGGGTCTCAATTTCAGCGGAGCAGATCTTTCACGACTAGATCTTCGGTACATCAACTTCAAGATGGCTAACCTGAGCCGCTGCAACCTCGCACATGCCAACTTATGTTGTGCAAATCTTGAAAGAGCTGACCTCTCTGGTTCGGTGCTCGATGTAAGAATTGTGCTGTGGAAGGTTTGGGCTGTCCTGTTATCTTAAGAGGAATTAGGATAAGTTGGGGAGAGGGGAGGAGAAGGAGGGTGTGGAACAGCAGGTAATTCCAACCTGTTGTCCCAATGAAGTAACGCCAAGTTCTTACACTGCCTTGAAACAGTAAGGCTGTTGTGCTTTAGTAGATTCACTTCCTAAACATAAATGAAGGCTACAGTCTGACTACTTCTGGCGTTGTTCAGTTCTGCACTTGCATGAATTTCACTGATGCATTTATCTCTATCAGTGTGCAAACCTCCAGGGGGTGAAGATGTTGTGTTCCAATGCAGAAGGAGCATCTCTAAAAGGGTGCAATTTTGAAGACCCATCAGGCATTAAAGCTAATTTGGAAGGTAAGAGGTTTTTGTGTGTTAAGTATTTCTTGGAAACTGAGTTGCATGTGTTTTAAGATCCATATGTTACGTACAAGATTGAGCTGTGGTTTGCACAATTCATCTTGACATTAGAAGAGCTATATATGTACATAAGACTGAGTGCAACTGCAGAATCATTACATGTAGATACCAATTTACATGGCACTGAAAAACCATTTCTCTGGAATCCCGTGTTTCTAACTGTTCTTCCTTTGTAAAAGTACTTTTGTGTTCCAGGTGCTAACCTGAAAGGTGTTGACATGGAAGGCAGTCAAATGACAGGAATTAATCTCAGAGTTGCAACACTGAAAAATGCCAAACTAAAGAACTGTAATCTTAGAGGAGCAACTTTAGCAGGAACTGATTTGGAAGTGAGTTACAATTCCTCTTATAAGCTAAATGGTCAACTGATAGAATTCTGGGGATTGCTGGCATTCGGCAAAACCAAATCCAGTTGTTACTGTGAAAAGCAGTCACTGCCTTACTGTAGTTTTAGTTGTATCTTGTGACAAAGTAAGGACATTGAAGTTACAGAAGCATAAGTGGCTTCTGCATAAATGCATTAAAAGTTTTGAACCCCGAGTTCTGTGTGCATTCAACTAATACTCGATCTCTTTTACCCTTTAGAACTGTGATCTTTCAGGTTGTGATCTACAAGAAGCTAATTTGAGGGGATCTAACGTGAAAGGAGCTATTTTTGAAGAGATGCTGACACCTTTGCACATGTCTCAGAGCGTCAGATAAGGAAGAGAACATGCTAAAGACAAAGGAGTCAAAACATGGTGACTTTCTTCATGTCCTCCCCTCATTAAGTTAGAAGCATTGGTTATTAGACAACTTATATTTGCAGTAGTGCCTAAGTAAACTATTTTGATTGCTTTTTGGGGAGGGAGCTTTAACTGAAAAGGTAGAAATAGATAAATGCTGTTTCTACCTCTGAAAACAGAGTGAGGAAGTGGACTGGTTCTAGGATCAGCATGCGTGGCTTTTTGTTGACAAACATTGCCTCACTTTGGAATTCATTTTAATTTATAAAGCACAATATATGCAATTCTATTTATTAAATCTGTAGCTGCAATATGAATAGAAGATGTTTTTCATGTATAGTAGCATCAAAGTTCAGGTTTACAGTTAGACTAACTGTAAATACACTAGTCTCTTCATTCATGCACAGTACATTAAGTGGAATGTGGTTTAGGTAATGTCCACACGATGTTTTCAGGTACTACGTTGAAAACAGTAGTTAACTGTCATCATAGGTAATATATTGCCTTGTAGTAGTTAGGATTCAGGTATAGAACAGCTTTATTATCTTCTAAATGTGCTGTGGAAGCTGCTTCCACTGAAGGGATCTGCATACACAGCAGATCTGGTTATAACAAAACCATCCTTGTTTAAAACTGGGATTGCATTTTTAATCTTTTCCAAATTAGTACACGATTGCACTATCAACTACAGCTGCTAAGGAAACACTCTCTTGCTTTCAAATGTCCTGTCCATTCCCAACCTGGAGTACCTGTACATTTTCTTTGTTCTTGGTGGGGGATTAAATGGACATAGGAGAATCCAATCCACTGTCACCAGAGATGAGCGCTGCAGCCATAGCACCCACTCCTTTCTCCCCTGCCATGCCTCCAGTATATGAGTAAATGGCACTTGTTTCCCTTCCATGTACTATGCAAATACTGTTGTCCACTGCATCCTTGACCACATGGGCAAAATCCTTTCCCCAGCCAGATGTCAGTATACCACTTTGGGCCTGCTTAAAAGTGGCTGTGAAAGCCTCTTTGGATGGGTGGAGTGCCCTTTCCACAGCTGCTTTACATGTGAGTCAAATATGGAATTATGTGACTTCTGGAGTGCAGAAAGTCTCACAGCACTTCTTTAGGTGGTGATGCACTTCATCTCATAAGCTGTTTCCACTGCAGTATCAAGCTGAGTTCTCATCTAATGTTTATTTTGTACACAATCAAAAAGCACATAACCTATACCAAAAAAGGTGCATCAAGAACTCTTACCTCAGACGCTTCTTTAAAGTACCCCAAAGTTGAAACTAACATTGAATCTATGAAAATAGAACTGTTACTGAAGTCCAGAACAGATGTATCCTAACACAGATCACGATCTGTTAGCAGTGGTTTGAGTCCCAGTTACTTTGGTGCGTTGTCTCTTACATGCAGTGCAGAATTTCCCATCCTCTGATGTTGTATTTGTTGTCTCAGTGGTTGCTATGAAAATGCTGCTTTGCCATCAGTCTAGAAAGATTAGTTTAGGAACAGTTTATGATGTGTTTGGGGAAGTGTGGGATTCTTATCAAGTTGAGTTTGATGATACTCGGGCATATCACGTGAACTTCCAGGACTCAAAATCCTACAGCCCTGTGGTTCCGAATTGGGATTTCTTTTCTGGATTCCCTGGCCTCTTTAATTTGGCTCTAGGATAACACCCCATCCTTGGTCAAAAACATCCATAGGGAAATGCTTTGTGATTTTTGGAGTCCTGTCTCCCACCTCATCACTTTCACTGATTGATGTGTTGCAGAAAGAAGAAGATTCCTAGGGCTAGAGAAACAAATGAATTATTTTTCTTTATCATATTTTGTAGCTAGAAGTAAAATATTGTATGGGAAAATATATTTTCATAATCACTGTGTATAAAATATATTTGAACTTTCACTGAAGTACTATGTTTTAAATAATCACTGCATGGGGCATCATTCATTTGCAGATGAATTTAAGGTACCTCTTTTGCTATGACAGAGCTGTACGAACAGCCTCAAGTGGCGTATTCAGAACATGCAGGTTCCAGCCTAATTCAAATTGCATTAATAAAAATGGGAAATACACAGGTGTCTTTGTCTTACTTAATTTTACTTAGAAGGACAAGAAGTTAGAAAAGACGGAGAGCTGACGTGCAAAACCCAGCTCTACTCTTTGATTTCTTCTGACTGAAGCTCTCCCAGACCTTGGATCAGCCTTCCACATGGGCTCCACCTCTGCCACAATCGGAGTCCTTTGTTGGTTTCCTTTACGTGGGGCTGTGGAAATATTTGTGGGCAACCAGAACCAGCTGTAGTCTTCTCCCCAACCTCCCACCTCCTTTATGTAACTTGGGCCCAGAGTTGAACATGAGACGGGAACAGTTTGCTCACCGCTGCGCTTCCTTCTGATGTGCTGCAGGAGCAGCTCTAAGGAGCCCCACTGAGGAGCACAGCTGCTGGCAGCCAGCGAGGGCAGGTTGGCAGACTTGGCTTCAGATGGTGGGTGAATAAGAGGTGCAATTACCTGGCTAAGCAGGCCCATTCCCTTCTTTAAATGCCATCTTTCAGGATGAGCAAAATCTTCCATTTCCTTTGTAATGTTAATTTCTGCTAGGAAGAGCAGGGAAGGAAGCAGTCATAAAACAGAAAATCTCCCTTCTCAAGTGATCTGCCTACGCTAAGGTAACCTTTCTCCCACTGAAACCAACTATTTTCACAGCTTGATCAGTTTATCAGCTGAACTGCTGCTGGCTCCTCTTGCTGTGAGTAGGAGCATTACAGCAGGAAGAATTGCTCTTTGCTGCAGTCACTAAATCCTCCTTCAACTATTTACTTATTAAATTACATTTAATCCATTAATTTCAAAGAGGTCACAGGGGCAGGAAGAGAGGATGTTTAAACACCACTAAACATGATACACCCAATTGCACATAAACCAGTGCAGAGCAAATCGGAACAGTGGCCAGGTGGATAAAAAAAAACAGGTTTCTGCCATCAAAATTATTGAATTTGACTTCTGAATGCAGATGGCCACCACGACCTCTTCAAAAGCTGCAGTGCATGAAGTCTCAACAAAAAGCTCCATAAGCGTTAATGCCTAACTTCACACACCCATGTATGTGTGCATCTGTATATACACATACATCCATATGAACAGGATTCTCCATTACATGTATACAGAGGGTCCTATTCAAGCGAGAGAGCCCCTTCCTCAGCACTCACAACCTCATCATCGGGTCTATTTGATCCATTTAGTACTGCTTTGCATTTGGTAGAGCACAGAACACGAAGGCATTTTTATTTAAGCATTAAGGACTTGCAGAAGAGCATGCAAAATGCCACGTGCTGGTGCAACCTCTTGTTTATGCACTGAAGGTCTGTTTCCTTCTGATATAGACAGAATAAACTGAATTCCTCATCCATTTCAACTCCTGTAAGGAACTCTTCAGAAAATCAAACCCACAGAAGAGCTTTTGCTTATTGCTAAAAAACCAGAAGCCACTGAAAGACCGTCTATTTATTTTCCATGGGGCAACAGCAGCCAGCTAGGTTTGAACATCAGGTTTACAGCCTCTTAAAAGGAAAGCTGTAACTTTCATGGCTCTAAGAGAAAACAGCTGTAGGTAACAGCTACACCCAGCTGCTCCAATTATGTGCTTTACTTCTTTAGTACACGACAGCAACTTTAAGAACAAAATTGCAGTCCGTAGGATAGAATGAGGCAGCGTTACCTGCTGTGAAGGGTTTGGTGGTGGGGTGGCTGGATATAAAGGGAGACAAGAAGCCAACTCACGGGACATTTTCCAGCAGGGAAGCGTTGGAGCAGTTCTGCAGCTTCTCTCTGCAAGCAGGTAATGTACTTGAACAGCCATGTCCATTTCAACTTTTCAGTCCTTACAGATGCTTGCACTGGAAGGAACTTGCATTAGAAGGCACTGCAAAGAGCACTTCTTAGAACAGAAACTGCCTACACCAAACCCGTCTGTCAAATATCAACATGGATTTTCACTGAACCTTCGAGGTCCAGGGGTTCCTAAAGCTCTGAAAGGGTGCTCAAAAATCCCAATTTAGATCTCTATCCAAATGTCTCAGATGTCAAATCTCTTTGTGATGAGTTGATCCATGCTCTGAGGGGCTCAGAACCCAGCTGTGACCCACGCGTAGGCACAGTGCCACTGGGGTGATTCTGTAAGATAAAAATTGAGCTGTGATGACGCAGGATCATAAATACGCTTTGTTCTCTCATCGCAGAATGGAGAAGTCCAGGAAGATCTTGGCTGGTGTCCTCCTGTTTACCATGTCTGTGGCAATCTGCTTGGCTCAACACTGGTCTTATGGCCTGCAACCAGGAGGAAAAAGGAATGCTGAAAATCTGGTGGAATCATTTCGAGAGGTAAGTTCAGGACTGTAAAACAGCTCTTGCTTTTGCTCCGATCCCTTATCTGTACTAGATGCAAGCAAAAAGCCTCGTGGCACTACCAGAGGTGACAGACTATACAGGAGTCTCTCTCTCAGCACACTGGTGTGCATTATACAACACACGTGTAGACTTTGTGTCAAGTAGGAACTGGAGAGCAGACCGTGCTGTGGTGGTACAGCGACAGAGAGCCCTGCGCACACAGCAGTGCTTCTGTGACAGACGGAAAGCTTCGTCAGTTTGCTCTAAAGGAGGGATGGAAGCCTGATTCCAGGTCAAACCTGACTTCACCACCCCTTGTTTGAGCTGCCCTTCTGATCATCTGCTTTGTGACAACATCCATCCATCTCCATGAGAATGTGGCACTGGCAGCTGGTGCGGGATTCGATGGCAAGTGCTTCACTGAAGGACTCAAACCACAGAGCAGATGGGAAAGGTTCTGTCCACCAATGGCTTTTCTGATGCTTTCTAATATTTCACATGTACTCCCTTGTAACCACAATTCCAACATTCTACAGCTGTTATAGCAAGTGTAACATGTAGGAAAGAGGTAAATGCAACTGTGCAGTAGAAACTTTGCCTTTAACCTGGGGAGATTTGCCTTCGGAGAAAAATCTGTTTTCATGAAGGCTGTGTTTATTCCCCATTCAGATTGCAAATGAAATGGAAAATCTTGGGGAAGCACAGAAGGCTGAATGCCCTGGATCATACCAGCATCCCAGGCTGAGCAATCTGAAGGAGACTGTGGTAAGTAGCGTGGTTTTCTCTAACTGCTGTGGGAAAATCTCAGACCAGTCCAGGCTGGCAAAGCACGGGGTGGAGGGGTGCGAGTGGTGGGGTAGAAGAGGCAGGAAAGCTTAGTTCACATGTGGCAACCCCAGTTTTGCATCGCTCTCAGTATGTCCAAGTTATGGCGCTAGAATATGACCACATTAATCCTGATGCTCCTGCTGTAACTATGTCATTACTTACTGAATTAAAACCAAAATAAAGTCAAGCACGTACTTCCTTCATACAAATGTAGGCAGCATTCGCAGATGCTTAACTTCAAAGGCACGCTTTGCCAGCTGAAGGATTGAGCCATATGGAAGTGCTGCTCCCAAGGTCCCCGGACTGGGAAATGTATTTTCCATTAGATGCTCTAATGCAGTGACAGCAGAGACTTCACATACACATGATCTGCCACACAAACAACACTCTCAAGCAGAAGAGTGCTCTTCAAACAATACAGCAGCACCTTGACCTGCCCAGATGGTCCTCACTTTCTGGGAAATATCTCTGAGTTGTCCTAAAGTTGCAACTCTCCCTCTACAATTAATATTTGAAGCCCAAACAAAAAAATTTCAGTTACATAACTCTCGCCTCTGAATACACGCTCAAGCACACGCCTGGCATACCTTGTTCCTGTGGTATAGACTGAAATGTGTGGCTTTCTTCTAGCTGCTTAATGATGCTGAAAACAAATTAGAGCTTTTCCAGATGTAGGTTTTCCAATGTTAACACACTGCTGAAGTTGACACGGGAGCATTATGCAATGAGAGGGAAGGTGTCAGGAAACGAACCAGCCCATGGAAACAGCTTTGCAGGTTGCCTTCATCACTTCCTGGAGCTGCCAGTAGTGAGGACAGAAATACAATGAGCTGAGATACAAAAGGGAAAGAATAATATACCGAGAACTTCCACCCAAAACACCTTGGGCTCTCAGTTCCAAGGGAACAACATAAATAGATGCACAAATAGGAGACCAGGTCGAGCAGGATGTGACACAGGAGTTCTGTTTCCATTCAAAAAGAACTAATGTATACAGAGATGGGAACGGGACAACTGTCCCACCCTGTAACACTTCTGCAAGCACCGCTTTCTTCCCCTTGGTATCTTGGCCAGCTGCTTAAGTTGACGGAGACATTTTGCATAGTGATGCTTTGTGTAAATTCATGCCAAAATGGAGTGTTCTGCAGCTGCTGGGCTGCCCTCTAAGAGCTGCTGTGGCGATGGGCCCCTTAACAGATGTAAAGCTGGTCACACACTTTGGGATGAAAAGGGCTATTCTAAGTGTCAGTTACATTATACTGCATGATCAGATCCATGGGCAGGTGGCAGAGAGATCACGTCGGGTCAGATTTATGTCATTCTAATCCTCCTTCCAATGGAGACCTCAGTAGGAATATGTTAGCATCTGAGCAGGCTTTAAAATTCCATCATCAAAGTTCTTTCTTCTCTTTTAAAATAATATATGGTGTGTGCTTACAGGCAAGCCTGATCGAAGGAGAAGCCAGAAGAAAGAAGATTTAAATCCACAAAGGCAACAACAGTCCCAGAATAAAATTTCAAAGCAATGTTGAAAACAGTTCCTCCTGCCTCTGCTTTGATTGCAATACGTGAATAAATACTGTGAAATCAGTGGGGAATAGTGGAGGATACCAATGTCCAGCTGATTTGCTTGTAGGTAAAAGAAAACACGTTGCAGTCCAGTGGAGGGGAATCAGCTCTGTGGGGTCAGCTTTGCATTCCATAATGACAGCTTTTGTTTCACTCCCACACACAACATCTGGGCATGGCCTGATCTCAACAGTAGTACAACTTCATTACGAATTACAAATAATTTTACTGCTGGAATGGAATTCTGCTCACACATCAGTAGACCACACATGAAGGACTTTTGTATGCTTCATTTTTTTTTTTACTGGTTCACACATAAAAACTACATTTATATTAAAAAGGTATTTACAAACTTTACAATAGTTAATGCATTGAAAAAAATAATTATACACCTTGCTTTACAGTGAATCCTATGCCATTTACCCAGAGAGATGCAGCCTCCTTTCCCCACGTTTAGTTCCTACCCTTCCTTCAGAGCCAGTTTAAAAGCCATACTTTCTGCTGCTTCAACTGCAGGGGATGAAAAGAGGAAAAAAAGATTTGCAGTCTGTAGAGGTGGCTGTTTCCTAACTAAACCATCACACGCAGCATCTCTAAATGTTAACAAGGACGTGTCACACAACACCCATGTTCTCCTGAACTCAAAACAAACACATCCTGTGGTTCCTCATGTCATTAAAATCTTTACAATACCAACAGGGAACGACTACATCCATTGACACCATGGATGCTAGGGTCGTACCACGCCAGGAACCTCACTCAGCTCCAACTGGGATATCCATCCTCACATCAAAACCAGTTAAATACACTCTGCAATGCACTGTGAAGATTAATGAGAACATGAACAGGAGCAGAATCGGGTGAACCTCACGTGCTTCTGAACAGCCCACCTCCTACTGCGCAAGAAATGAAATCACATCCATGTGTGGTTTGATTTTCCTGACTGAGTCCCAGGAAAAGCTCATGCCATTCCACTGGATAATGTACTCTGCAATGGTAAACATAAGATAGAGAAGTTTTTAATTAAAAGAAACAAAAAAAACATAATGGTAGCCAGTAGTAGTCAGGAATGTTTTTACATTTGAGAAAAAGGTTACAGTTAAGTTACAGACATTTCAAAACTTCTTATTTCCATTTACAATTATAAAAATAAATAAGGAGAGGAAATCCGAGCCATTATCACTGCAAGTTCAACCTGCTGCTCGTGGGCTGCACAGCGTGGTGGGGGCTGGATACAGGTTCTCAACAACTGCTACATGCACACGATGGCATTTCTGCTGCTGCAGATCACAGAGCTGCTCTCAGTGGAATCGGTGTCCTTTCCTAATCCAATAATCCACTGAAATGGAAAGCTGTCTGTTTCTCTCTTCCCTGATGCGGATTAGAGCCTGTAACATTTTTGAAGGAATTTGTCACAGCGTGACGAGTTTTAATTACAAGCTCCAGAAAGCAAGTGTTGAGCATATTTCTCCAAAGGGAAAAAAAAAGATCCTCTCTGTGACTTGAAATTCCCCACTAGCTGTGGACAGCATGGATTTGAGATGGGATTCAGATCTTGTCTCCTCCGCAGGCTGCACATGGAACTCGATCTTATCCCAAGCAAGGAGCTGGGCACAAATGCCACCGTTTGCTTTCACTTCTGCTGCGTGGAGATCGCCATTACGGATCAGTCTTGGACTCCCATTTTCAGTCCTATGCTTTCAATGACATTGAGTGATGTGAAACACTGATTCTCATCTTGAAAATGAGTTAGTGAGATCTTAAACAGTCTCTGAAGGTTAAATATCAGAACTTGTAGCAAAGAGCAGAACATTTTCGTTAAAAAAAGTTTTAAAATCAGAGGTCTGGTAGAATTTTGCACTAAATTCTCCTTAATTAAAACCAGCCAGGCCCTGTGCTTACACCTTTAAATGCCCAATTGCTTTTAAAAACCCAACACAGAGGACAAAGCTGTTTTCCAAAACTGGCCCAAACAAAGGCTCACGTCACTCGGCCACAGCACAGAAATCCCATCTGTAGCTCTATGGAGGCTCTGCTGACTTGTATCAGGTAAGAACAGAACTCTTCACAATCAGTAATACTGACTGGCAGGCAGAACCAAACATCCTCAAGTTCAGAAGCATTGCATAAAGGGACATTGAGGAACTATTCCCAAGGTCAGGCTTCCCCCAGGCCTTTCTGCATGGACCAGCTTCCTGCTGCAGGAAAAATACCCACTGGCTGCACAAGGTACATCTCCAAGTTCAAGTTAATAAAACAGATCAGAAAAGCAGGCAATTATGACTCAAATGCCATTTAGAATCGAATCGACCAAACCAGATCACTGTGCTGTCAGCCCATGAGAAGCCACTAGCTGAGCTTCCTGCTGCCTTACTAAAGGAGTTAAAAGCAAACCTCCTTTAGAAAGGAAAAGCACCTCAGAATGAGGGAACAGGCAGATACAAAGGCAAGGCACTGAATTACAAAAGGTGGTGTTAAGGTATAGGTTTCTATCACTCACACCTCACCCTACCTGAAGACAAAAGTTCTTGTTCAAGGGAAGAGCTTCAGAGGATCCTTCAGTTTGTGCAACAGCAGCAGAAGGGAGATACTGCTTACAAGAGGGAGAAGTGGACAAAAATGAAGGATGAGAAAACCCTGTGGTGTTCCAGTCAGGCAGCATCTGTGGTCAGGAATGTAACACAGAGCTGACAAGTCCTACACACACAGCAGAGGCACTGAAACATGCTCAGGTTGTCCAGAAAGGTTTCAAAGATTTCCCCTGAGAAGGCAACAGCCCAGAAGACAATTGCATGTGGGCTGCTGTGAGCACAACTGTGACTGCAGTGCAACTTCCCCGATGTCTCCATCCTGCTGTGATGGGAATCTGATCTGACCCTTTAATGAGTGCAATCTGTTTGCAGAGCCATACACACTGTAAAATAAATGCAGCTCCTGCAGGTTTCCTTAACTGGAGTCACACAGAAGACAAAGGAACACATAAGAACAAGCGAAAGGGCAACTTTGGTCCTCATAGCCAGAATAGGGTTTCTTTCTTTTTATCTGAAAAAGAGTTTAAACCTAATTAAAGCCTATCTCAAACAACTTGAGTTTTTCAGTAAGGCAATAAACTCACATTAGTCACGTGAGCAGAAGACTGGTGCAGTGGGCTGTAAGAAGAGAAACAAGCCACAGCAAAACAAAACAAAAAAATGGTATCTTGTGAGCAACATCCCCAGCAGGGATTTAAATGCATCTCCATAAATTATACCCAATAATCAGGAGCTTAATGACAGTGACAGGTAACAAGCAATATTGTTCGCTGGATGAAATAAATGTGGCACCAAGTGGCAGTGACAACTCTGGGGGGGTGTATCAGAAATAATTATGCTGCTTGAAAAGGTAACAGTGATGTTCCTCACAAGCAGTGAGTTCTGAAATGGAGAGTTTAGGAAGGTCCTGCTCCACACAGCAAGAACGGGTTGCTGAAGCTACTGCTGGGATGATCAAGGTAATTCTGTGGTAGAACAGTGCTGAAATGCACGCTGCAAGACAACTTTCAATCAAACTTCCTTCCAGCTTAAGCACTGCACAAAACCCATCTGGGCCACATGGAGTAAAGATATTTGTGCTCCATCTGAGCTGAGGAAAGGCAGGAATTTTTAAAGGTTAAAACCCAAGATCAGGACATTTTTCTTCTTTAGAATAAATAAAATGAAAAGACTTGTTGACATCCTGAGAGAGCAGGAAATAAATAACTAAGAGAGAATAATTAAGCAGATTAATAACATACTTATAAATAACATAATTATCTTGTTCTCCAACGCAAAAAAAGCTACAGAGCTGTAATAATCCAAGCAACAGGAAGCATGGTGGTTGATTGTCAAGTCTTCCACAAATCCCAGGTCCAAGTGGTTCCTTAAAGTCTAGTGGCTGTGAACAAATCAGACCAAGGGAAGCTACAAAACAAAGTGCAAGTATTGCCCTAAATGGGGTGGGGGAGAGGGAGGATGATATTTATTTCTATTTGTGAGGATCTGGTCAGCCAAAGTAAGTGTTACAGTACACACTCCATCCTCCCCAAGTTGCTGGTATCAATACAGTGCTGCTACCAACACAACCTCCATTCATTCTAAGACATTCACAGGAGAAAAGTCACTTTCTACACCCTATTTAAAAAGCATGAAGACGAAGCCTTTGTCCCAGGTGCAAAACAAAGTAGCAACACAACAAAGGAAGGGATATCAGCTGCTCTGTAGTGTTAAAACCAGAACCAACAGTGAAACTATGATTAAGTACTGGCAAACCTAAACTCTCCATTGGGAGTGAGCAACTGCCACCACTTGAGCAGAAACGGGGAAGGCAGAACGTCTGCACTTCATCTTCAATACATATGATGAGTAGCAGAAAAGAGGTTTCTTACCCTGCTCACAATGCTCAGGTCTCTGCCTGCAATCACGAATCTTAAGAGACCACACATCACACACCAACACCTGACGCTGCACGGCTGCGATCCGTCTCACTTCATGCAAATCAGGGCTTGACTACAGCAACAGGAGGAGGGATTTGTGCTTTAGCATAAAGCTGGAATGAACCCATGTGAAAACACTGCAGAACACATCTCATACTGGTGTGGCTTACCTCGGTGAAGCACTGGCTTCAAATCACTACTGTGATAGTTTTACATTAGGAATGAGCCGCTGAAATTGCATCAGCGAAAAAATTCAGGACAGACAAGGCTAATATAAGAATTCCAGTAGGCTGACTTCTTCCCTTCTGTAATTAGTGTCTCATTATTGGAAAAATAAATCAGAGGTTGGGAATATAGTTACACTCAGAGTTCCTTTTGCTATTTTCCAGGGAGAACTTCAGTGGAAGTAAATGGAATGGCAACTGAGATCAATAGTCTTTAGGGTAGAAAACCCCAGCACGTCAGTGAAGAGAAAGCAGCCATCTCTCTCTAGGTACTTGCTGTTAAACAAGCAAGTCTATAATCCTCACTGCAATCCTTGCTCTGATGAGAGGACACTGGATTTTCTGGTTTTTGGGGGTGGAGGGGGAGGTTTGGATTCACGTCTGCTCGGTAGTGGTGGAGCAACCTGAGAAGATAAAATGAAGACACACAGGAAAAACAAACCATTACCAGGCAAGTAAAGACATTCGGCTTGACCAAACAGAAGCAAAGCAAAAACTCCTGTGCTTCTTGATTGTTCTTTCAGGATCATATCTCTGAATTCATCCTTTCAGTTCTTCATGCCATCAATGAGAGGGGCAAAGAAGGACACATCCCCCAGAGGTAACAAAACAGACATGTTTTAGTTGTTAGAGAAATCTTTAGCCGTAAATATGCTTTGCTTGCTTCAGACCCACAGCCTGACCAAGCCAGTTATTTGCCCAGTGTCCCAAGTTTTATCAGTAAAATGGAAATAAACCCATTTCTCGGGGTTTCAGGATTCAACCATCTTTATCTTGCTGGCTTGACCTCCCAGTGAATTGCACCACACACCAAAGGGATGTAAAATGCTTCCAAATCAGAATGGTGCAACTAACTCCATAAACAGAAAGTTCTGCTAAAACAAGCCACAGAATTCCTGCCCAACACATGGGGTTGTGGAATTCTTGCACAAAACCACTCTAAATGGGTCCTTTCAAGTTGTCCCTTTGCACATCCTGGAAACACATGAAAAATGAAGGCCAGGTGAAGAAGAAACTCCCGTGGTTCACCCCTTGCTTAGCTGAAAGCACCAAGATTTCATGATTATTTTAACCAACTGAGGACACGCTCAACTTTACATGAACAGCAAAAGGAGCCAAACGCCTCAGAAAACACTTCTACAATCTCTCTTTACAGCCCTTCAAATCCATCCATTTGGCTATAAGCCAAGGTCAACGTTGTGGCCAAAGCATGTTAGTAATTAGTTTTCTTACAATACTCAAGGGAAGGGGGCTCTTTCATTAATCCTCTTGAACCAGCAACTCCCACAGGGCTGGCACATTTCCGCCATCCACACCACCTACATCAGTTCCAATGCCCCTTCTGAGAAAAAGAGTCTATTTGCAAATGAAGCAGAAAACATCCCACTTATCCCACATTTCAAAACTTGATGCCATTGTCAATGAGAAATAAATGATCAACTGCTGCACTGTCATTCTGTGATGTGGAAGTAACGTATTTGGGAAGTGTCATCACTCTTCAAATTCACTACTTTTGGTGAAAATCCATATCTTATTACTTAGGTACTCCACAATTGTCAGTAGCACTGGGAAAGACATTGCTGTCAGGGCTCCAAAAGGAACTGTGCTGCACGGTGGTAAGCAACTACTTTCATATCAGAAGCAGCAACATTTCAGGAGCTGGTGAAATGGTTTTGACACAACTGTGTCCATTGGATGTCTCCAATGCTGATTATCTGACATTTTTGCCTGGCTGAGGCATTTTACTCAAGGTTGAAGCTCTGCTTTGAGTTCCAGATATATTGCTTTTCTAGGGATAAACAACCTTCCCAAGAGGGGATGTTTCTCTGAATATCTAAGAATGCCATAAATAAGAAACTAAAAGGACAGACATCCCTGAGATGAGGCACAAATCCAGAACAGGAACCAATCGGAAGAGATTAAGTGCCCTTGTGCCAATTATGGATGAAGCAAGGAGTGGGATACCTCCCCAAATGGCCACAGAAGAGCCCCACACAAGAGCAGAAGACTCAACTATGCTACATAACCTTGTTCTTACATAATCCTTTGAATATTTAATAGGTGTGAGTTATGCATAGGCACATAGTGAAAACATTTTGACTACAAACAGAAGCCAGTGTAAAGATTTGGGGTGCTTGACTTATTCTGCGCAAGGCATGGGGTGGAATATCTCCACAAATCCATCTCTGGCAGTATGTAAACAAGATTACTGTACTATTTTACATGTTGATCATGTTTTGGAAACTCTTCCCTGCCCCATCCCACACAGTTTGCCTAATCAGGGATAGCACAGTCACCACCTGAAAATGGGGCCGCATTTGACAGCACTCTCTCAAAACTTCTTATTCGTCTGTGGTTTCAGGGGGTAAATCAGAAAAACGACTAGACAAGTTCCAAGCAGCACCATCTGAGAAGCAGCTTGGAAAATTTCACTGGTGTCTTTCTGAAATGCTGCCTTCCAGAGAAACGTCAGCTCTCATTTCCTTACCTCCACAGAGTTCCTTGGGTTGCTATTCTCATAGGGTTTGCTCTTGGGAGGAGGTGGGGGTGGGGTGCTCTGCAGGCTAGCAGCTGGCAATCCATCCGACTGCAATGAGGGAAAACCTAGAAGAAGAGTAAGACAAGACATTAAAGTAGGAGGAAAAGGAGTGGGAGAATGAATTGAGCATGTATTTGTTCTAGCAGCCAAATCTGAAAAGAGATGTCAAAGTAGAATCAAAGTTTTATCTCCCTCAAGTTCAAAATGCCCCAAAGGATTCCGTCTCCATCAAATGAATCTAAGCTTATGTGAAAAATGCATGCCTGAGAGAACAGAAAATTGAATCCATTATCACATCTGCAATGTTCACTGGGGTTTCCTTTCAGCCAGGGCCTCAACCTGAGAATTCACTTTGATTTTAACTCCAGTTGATGGGGTAGATAAGTACTGAAATTTCAGAAGAATTCTCGGGAAGCTGTCCTGCTACTAATGGCAATTAAAACTGCTTGCTATGAGGTTTTGTATTCCTTTCACAGATCTCTATTTACGTAGTATTTCTACATTTGTTTGTGTTCCTGGTTCTCTCCTCCCTACTCCCTTACCCCAATAAGTACTTTTTGCTTTAAACCTCCCATACAGGTTTTATCTCTTCACTTTGTTATTCAGAAACATTGGATTCTGAATTTATATCCACATAAGAAGAAGATCCTACATATGATTTTCAATCCATTTAAGAAACACAGCAGTGGTAGAGTGAGAAACTTCACACCAAGAACAGCAGGAAACCAGCAGTGGTGAGAATACAGCTGCATTTTTACCTTGGTCATTTATTCATATGTTGCTTCATTTATTCATATGTTGCATATGAATTAATGACACAGCCTAGCGGAGGTAACTGCTAATTACTCAGTTTGTTAATTCTTCAAGATGAACTCTTCCTTCAAGTGCAACATTACCTAGGTGAGTGCCCAAGCTGCAGAGCAGTATCTCCTTTAAAATGTTTAACAAAGCCTGCAGGGTTGTGCTATTCAGCCAGAGATCTGCTCAGAAGCCAAATAAAACCACCAAGCAGCATGGATGCAGTTCCCTTCAGTGGATTCACTTCAGGTGTTCCAGTAGCACGTGTTGTCACCATCCCACTTGATTTACTTCCCTCCTCCCCTCCCCAGTGAGGTGACCTCAGCAAAGTTACATTAACCCATACGGCTCAATTGCTGTATTACAGAACTTACTGTGGGTTCTTGGGGTTTTGGGAGTGATGGGAGGTGGGCTGAGAGGCGTTGGCTGCTGGAGAGAAGAACTCTGAAGCAAAGTCAGCCTGTTGTCTCCTAACTGAAGACTCTTTGGCCTTTGAGCTTTTCCTGACGTGCTCTGCTTAAAACAAAGAGTAAACAAAGCCTTTAGGAGTCAGCAAAGTTGCTGCACACGTATCAGATCATCAGACCTGTCACAAAGGCACCAAGATGCTCCAGGAGAGCTGTGTGTAAGAGACAAAGGTGCATTCAGGTGAAACCACAGCTCTGGCTAAGCCATGTCAAAAGGCATCCACTGTGCTCCTGTGACACGTTCAGAATTCTCTGGGACCTCAGGAAACGGGTAGCAATATTAAACTGTTTTTAATGACATCAATATATACAGTAAATAAGGAAGATGCCAGGGAAGGAAACCTACAGCCAGTTGGAAGAGGAGCTGGCACCCAGCATCTTTGAGGACCTCTTCCCAAAGCCTCGACTGTTAAATGGCTGTAATGACATCCACGTACTGATGCCAAGGGGTAAACTGAGCCACTCCAACTGTCACAAGTGCTACAGCTGTGCAGGGGCCCTTAGGTGGGCAACCAAACACCACACTCAGCTTGGTGGTAACTGCAGTGATAGGTGGTGCTTTGGCCAGCTTGACTCAGAGTGCCTCCAATTAGCAAACCTGCCTCCTCACAATGCTATTAATTAAAAGTGTCAGTAAGACAAGAGACATCAAAAGCTGCATTCGGCCATCTGAATTCCACCTCAATCCCAGTGCCCCGGTTTCCTAACAGCACTGCATGCCTGAACACAGAGGCAGCCCAAAGGACATTCCAGCCAAGTAGACAAAGGTGAAATTTATTCTTTCTGGACATGGACTACAGAGTCCTGAACTTATTCAAGCCTCTTTAAATATTATTTATTGCTTTACAGAGAAGGCTGTCATGCTTACATATGTAATTAAACTCACTGAACTCCTGGAGATCAATTCTCACTGAGCAATTCTCACTGCACATTAAGGAGTGCACACTGGTGTGCAGTGAATATAAAATGAGCAGAGCCCAAAGCTGCTGGACATACAGTGAGCCTTTGGTTCCCTCTGGCTTTCTGGCTCCCACACAGCTTATTCAAGAGCTGCATAAAATCACTCTGCCTGATTCCTGTGCTGCACTACGCAGACATGGAACAAACCAGCTATTAAAAAAAGCTTTCTGTATACTTTGCAACGTTCTTCAGCATGAGTATAACCCTTAACTGCTCATATACTTCAGTGAGCTTATCACACATGCAACATGCCCTCAGAGAGCTGGTGAGAAGGGCGGGTGGGTGTTCTGGTTTGCATCTCTTAGCTCTCTGCAAAGCAAAGTCTTGCACACACATGCCTTACTGTCCCAGGGAAGCAGTCAATAAAACAGGCTTTCTGCCAGAAACTTTCCATCTAGCTTTACTTACTGAAGCAATCAGCAGCTGACCTCACGATTTGTGGGTTAAACCCATTTAATTCAACAGCACCATTTCCAAAGGCAGAGGGCCAGGCCTTCTGAATCACTAATATTTACAATCCCAGATTTTCCTATCAACACCAAATGGCAAGATTCTAGAACCACACTTCCCCTTCTTCAGAAATATGCTGGCAGCATCACTCAGATTTGATGAGAATTCCTCATTCTATAGCAACACAACCTATCCGTGCCAGATCCAGCTGAGATCTGGTCAAGGAAAGGGAATCAGAAGAGCTGATGGGTTTTTATTATTTATACAACTTGTGTTATGTCAAATCACTGTCACTGAGCCATCAGCTTAAATACCAACACGCCTCATTGCTGCATACTCTCTGACAGTGCAACACAGTCTTAGCTGTAGGGGTGTAATTCTCTTTTATTCCTGTTTTGCAAAAACTTTTCTCATGGAATAAACACTCCTGCTCTCATGCAGGAGGTCTGGAGCACAGTGCAGACTTGGAAAACCTGTTTCTCAAAGCGCCAAGCTAATGACCTAACTAGCATACCATCTTTTTTCATCTCCCCAAAGTACCAAACTGATGCAGTACATTTGATTTGTGCAGTGATGCTGACTGACAGCAGCTGAACATCTGGCTTGCCAGCTGCATTTTTGTGTGGGCTAGCAATATCTGCTTGCTCCAATACAAACAGAACAATTCTACACAGCTCTGAGTGTACTGGAGTCCTCCATCTCCTAGAAGAAATGAGAGAACTGAGATGAAACATCAGTGCCACATACTTCCAGTTTTTATACTTTAAGTCGAACTGTAGTTTGGTCTGTGACACAAATATTCCAAATAAAAAAGCAGGAATTACTCAGATGACCAAGCTTTTGGTATTTGAACCCCACCCATTATCTAATGAAGTTCCCAATGACAAACATGGCTGAAATGGAAACACAAATCTCCTGCTGGGATTTTATTACTGCTATTCTTCTCTTGTTGTTGCATTACCATTTTGGAAGTCAGTTCCATTTCTGGCTCCTTCTCCACAATAACTTGGGACTTGCTGATACTCCATTCCTTCCGCTTCAGTTTGCAAATCCTGTTATCACCATCTTCTTTCACGGGCAGTTCTTCAGCTCTGGAAGCTGTTGATATTCTTCTCTCCAACAGAGGCTCCAGAATAGATCTTCAGCCCAAAGGAGTGAAAAAACACAAAATATTACTCCATCATCAGACATTCCATGTGCTGTCAAAAAGCCATTCTCTCTTATTTTGCAGAACAGATTACCATGAAAAACTAAACTAGGACCACAGAATTTTCAGCAAAATTTGTTGTCCTCAGTTGCTTGAGCAATTTTGAGTTTTATTCTTTTTTTAAAGGCAGAGTACAATCCACTGGCAGAGGGAGCCAGACAGGCATTTTACGATTAAACTTGCCATTCATTTTAAGAGTAACTAATTCATACAACGACAGAACGGCCTGGGTTGGAAGGGACCCCAACGATCACCAAGTTTCAGCCCCCAGCCACAGGCAGAGCCACCAACCTCCAGATCTGCTACTAGAGCAGGTTTTTCTAATTACAAAATTAGAAGTTAGACAAATCTCATCTTCTGAAAGAAACAAACCCACTCTAGCAAAGGCATCTCCCTGCGCAAAGGCTGACTACTCACCCATCTGAACCTGGCCTGGAGGAAGTGCTATCAGATGACGTGGAAGATGTAGAGACCACAGAAGAGGCCACAGATGTGACAGAGAGCCGTCTCAGCGTGGAAGACATGATGTAGGGCAACACGACAGAGCCTGACCTGCTTGGTTTCCTCTCGGTCAGGGAGGGAGGCTGCAGAGAAACACATCCACGACAAATCACACAAGGCGAACTCAGAAGCTGTATGGGCAGAGTTGTGTTTCTTCGAGGCAAAACATCAGACTGTGCTTACCAAAGTTATTACACCGTACTGCTTCTCCACCTTCTTCTTCAGCTCTTTGAAGCAGGCTGTCAGCCTGTCGTGCAGAGGCTTCAGCTGCTCTGTCAGCTTCTCGCCATGGATTCTTATTCCCTCTGCTAACAATGGCATCTGAGAGCGGGAACAACACAGGGAAATGAAAGGGCAAATCTGATCTCCTGCTCCAGCAAGAAATCTTCCATGCATGTCATACAGATACAAGCAAAGGACTTGAATCAGTATGTTTTAAGTTTGCACAGGAGAAAAAAGCAGTCAAAGTACACAGTTACTGACTCATAACTTGTGATACTACAATAACCTGGCAGTCTATTTAGTTGTGTGTATGTATTACCAAGAAATGTGAACCCCACCTACACCAATGGTTCCCTCTTCCATACTCAGATCCCATATTCTGCTTTGGAAAATAAGGCACGTTAAACATTCAGGCATCACAACTCAGCTTCCAGAGCTGTGTGAGTGTGAAGCAGCTTTAACTGCACTCTGCTGTAACAGAGGTACACACAGATTGGTCTGTGGGGCCATTTACAGATCTGCAAATTTAGGGCAATTTTTCACTGCTTTGCAGATGAAAACAGACAACTTTCAATGGTCAGACTGAGAAAACATTAGGCCTAATGACTTCAGGAAAAGTTAAAAAAAAAACGCTTTGTAAGTTTACATGAAACATCCTAGGCCACAGTTTTAGAATATAACTGCTCTTAAAATAAAAATCAATTCTTCACATACAGAGATTGCTCTCAGAGTATCTAGTTGCATTTTCTCCCTTCAAAAAAAAAGCTGGAAAAACACCTGCACTCATACATAGTGCATCTCTATCTTTGCCAACGTGGTACCTGGAGAGCAATCAATTGCTTAAGCAGTTCAATTTTATCTTGATCTTCAGGATGCTCTTGAAGATATTTCTCTGTGAAAAACGCCTGAAACAAAGGGAGAAGATGATTTAGACATGATGCTGCTTGCAGAGCCAGCTCTTCAATGAAGATTTCATTGTATTGTCAGTGAAAATCGTAAGTTACAAAACTCCCCTCTGCTGGTATTGGCTTGAATAATCAAAGCTATAATAATCAAAGCTATATTACTTGCCACCCAAACACGAGTAGCAGAATCAGCCTGTGTGTTCTCAGTTTGTTTTTAGCACTCAGTGACCACAGTACACAAAGATATGCAAATAACTGGAGTCTCAGGAAAGTGAACAGGACAGTGTTCTCGATGGATTCCTTGAGATCTAGCATTTAAGTCCCAATGTACAACACTTCACATGGGATTTGCTACGAAGAGTCAGTAGAAATAAGACTGCAGAGATGCTGACTCGTAGTTCAGCACCCTTACTCCACACTTCCCATGCATCTACCTTCAGACCAACAGAATCTGGCAATGGCTTAAAAGCTGAACAAACACATATAGACTTCCCTCGACTGAAATCCTAAAACTGTGCCAACTCACACTATATGCTGCAGAGCATCGCCCTGAAATGTATCACAGTTCCCAGTCAGAAGAATTTCATTTTTCTTTTCCTAGATAAAATCCCTAATAATTTTTCACTTGGTTTCAAAACACTCTCTCTGGTCTATTTCAGCCTTTGCATGCGTTTTTAAGTTCTGCACTCCATTAACTGGACTGCATGCACAAGTGTTTGCAGGGCTAGAGGTAGGATTCGGCATAGGATGTCAAGAGGAGGTGAGCCATGAAGGGATGGCTGGGTAAGTCCCAATGGATTTTTCTTGAAAGTGTTTAATTATTGCAAGAAAGCACATGTTAAAAATGCAGACTTTGGCTTTTGGCTACAAAGAAACAATTAAAACTTAAGTTTTCAGCCGCCCACAAAAGCCGAATGTTCTGCAGTGATCTCCAGTTGAAATAGGAAAATGTGAACCAGAAATGAGTATTTCCAGATGTGGTTACAGATACTTTGTGTTTCCTAGTTTTAGCTGCTTTCCCACTTTTGTAATTCTAAACTTTATGTCAACCTTAATTCATGAAATGGGAGGATTCAGGGCCAAATTCACCACTGGTGAAGCATGCAGCTCCAGTTATACCCCAGGTATTTCAGACCCTCTCCTATTCAACTTTTTCACTTCATTTTGTGTGACTGCAACACGTTTGAGAAGAATTAAACATCTTTTAACACCGTCCATTCAGTGCAGTGAAATAAGCAATGCATTTCTTGCTTGGGAGATCGTAGCTAAATATTGGGAATAAACAGCTTAAATTAACATCACAGAAGGAAGGAACACACACCATGTCAACTGAATAACTGAATAAACATGGATGAGAAACATTCCCTCTCTTTTTTTCTTCTTTTTCCCCCTGAAATACCTGCTCTTTTCTGCGATGCTGTAATGAGAGATGATTTGCTAGGCAGAAAAATCTTCCCTTACCTTTCCATTCTGTATTAATGGAGAAATGTTAGCTATTTGGCTTCTGTTTCTTGCACTGCCAAGCACCTCACCAGGCTCCCACAAGGTAGGGCCACACTGTTACCACCAATGTAAATATGGCCTCAAAGAGGAGGACTTCTCCTTAACTCAGCGGCAGTACACACCACTGAAACTTAACACTGAAACACCCAACACTACATCCGAGTAACTGCTGAAAACTCCACCTTCACGTCCCATGCTTCAATCCAGACCTCCAACACTGAGGAAGTCAAACTGAGCTACCAATAAATGTGGAAAAGACCTTTTCATAGTTGGTGTATCCCCCCATGACCGCCGGGTCCACAATCCCATTGAGGAGCATGGAGAGAGGATGCACAGGAAGGCTCCGGTCCCAGACGTGCTGTTGGACAATGTTGCTGATTTTCTCATTGGTGAGCTCCATCGTTTCTATGGCGTTCTCCAATGGGCTGATCTCTTCCTGGGAGAAAGCAGAAGACAAATGACTGGTGTGCCCTGCCACTGGTGGAACAGCCAGTCCTGAGTGTGGCAAGACTTCATTCCACGAAAGATCACAGAAGGTGAAAAACAATCTATGTGCAGAACTCACCGTTGAAACCTGTCTGACTTCAAACCACTTGAGGATGCCTGGAAACGAATATGCTGTCGTGTAGGTTGTCCTTTCTATCCACATAGTCTAGAAGGAAAAAATTACAAGACGTAAAGAAAACATTGGTCTTGCAATTCAATCCTCTTCTGCAGTACAGCATGGAACGTGGGCTTCCAGCACTAAGCTGGCAAGATTTACACATTCATTTTCACTGACTGGGGTTTTGGCAACAAATGGTATCAACACAGGCAGCAGAAGGCAGTTGTCTTCCACATAAACCACTACTAGAGGCACGATTATGGTACATTTAGCCAGAGCTGCGTGCAATATGCCCAACCACTGCATGTGAGCCACAGAATGCCTCACAGACAGCAAGGAAATAAGCTATTCATCTAAAAAGTTGGCCTGAAGTTGATTCTTCATAGTCAAATGTTGGCCTCGTTAAGGACAGCTACATCACCCACAGGCAATAGCAGGCACCAGCAGACACCAGACCACACTCTGTAGAATGTTATGGCCAAAAAACACAGTATTTGTGGATCCTACATCAAGGGTTTGAGCACAGGTACAGAATACCTCAATATATCCCATTATCTTTGCATAAAGATCGCAACCAACGTGAACCGTAACCCTTTGCTCCTCCTACACCTTAACAGCCAAACTCTATTGCCACAGGTGAAAGAAAAATGGTTAGAGTGCTGTTCCAAACGCCGCTGGCAGAATAAGCAAATGCACAAAGCAGTTCACATATAGCACTGACAACTGAGGCAGCCTGTACTAAAACTGAAGGACTCACAGCAAATTCGTTCTCTGGGTCCTTTTCTCCTTTTCTGAATGGTCGTGAGTGTGTGAACTGCTGTACCTCGTTTGCTCTGTAGTAGCTACAAAGAAGCAGAGACAATAGTGAGTTTTCTCACCACCCATCTTCCTCGCATCACCATTCTCCTGTTGCCCTCAAAAATAATTAAGTTTAGACTGGAACAGGATACGAGTTTACAAGAGACAAAAATACACTCCATCTTGTGACTGCACTGAGAAAAACACAGAGGATATGTTGAGAGAAAAGGAAAAGAAATTACTTTAAGATCTGCTCAGGAACAGGTTTGTCTTTATAAGTAGGTGGCAGGTTCATCACAGGCTTCACTATAAAGCACTGCACATCTGAGATGCTACAGTTAAGGATGAAAAACTACAAATTCTTTAGGGAAAAGAGAAAGGGGGAGAAAAGTGTCCTTTCTGTTTTCATGAAACATCAGATTTCTCAATAATTCCCTGTGCTCTTGTCATGTTTGAAGAGAAATACTTGGTGTTGATCAACAATAACAGAATTCATATTGCTTGTTGTGGTCAGTATGCTACCCACAAACTAAAAGTCCTGAAAAAGATAAGGGCTAAATGAATGCTTCCAGCAAGCTAAATTCCCCTGGTGAAATGCATGGGAAACCTGGGTGCTAAAGATTTCTATCTTAAGGACAGGAGAACAGGATCGTGTATAAGGTCCTGTAATGCATGCATCCATCTCTTCCCTCTACCTGCCCAATTATTCTTCCAGGACAGTAAAAATCTGTATGGAAAAGTGAAGTACAGAGAGTTTGGCTCACATTAACAGACCATTTCTGCCAATCCTACTCTGAAGAGGCAATGTTTTACTGGTGGGTAGGGTAGCCCCTTACATCCTTTATTCCACCATGGATATTTCTATATGGTATTCTAAAAGCGAAGGCAAGGTCATTCTGCCCGCTTTGAAGAGCCAGCTGGATATTTGCCAAGCCTGACCGAAACCACACAGCTACAGCTGATCAAGCACTGAGCACAAGCTAATATACTCCTTCTCTCAGGAGAGCTTATTAGCTTGGGCTTTATGCCATTGCTGAGCATTCTATACAGCTTCTAGCTCCAGACTGGTGGAAGAGTGGCCAGTTTGTGTGTGCAGGCATTCCCTGAGATGGTGAACAGCTTAATTAGCTCCAGTACACTGTTATGAAACAACCAAAGGAAGCACAGGGCATTATATCATACAAGTGCAGGAGAATAGATTTCAAGCAAAAGTTAAAAAGAGCCCGAGACCAAGGAGGTTTCCAGCATAAAACCAAACAAACATGAAATTAAAACAAACTACAGAACCTTCAAGCCCTGCCTAATATAACAGTGATTTGGGCACTCAAACCTCTCATCTTTTCAGACGGTGTTTGTAAGAGTCCGAGAAGAACCTGTACCACATCCAAGCTGTGCAGCTGCTCCCCTTTACGATGGGGCCATGCCAAAGACCCGGAACCAAACACCCCCAAACTTTCAGGAGAGTTCAGATCTGGATCCAAATCTTGCAGTTCAGGTTCATCTCGAGCCAAAACCATTAGAACAAACACAAACAGATGCAAAGGAAGTAGCTGAAACAAAGCAGCAACAGAGAAGGCATTTTTTGATACCAAGTTTGGCCTTGAATGAATTTTAATTTCCTATGTGGATTGAGTGCTTGGCAGGCTTAGAGCAAGGGAAGCATCTGGTATCACTGCTTGAGTTGCGCCTTTGTACACAGAGTTTTAAGGCCAAAGCAGACCATCAGTTTCTTTAGCCTGGCCTGTACAACACAGGCCAGAAGCCTAGCAGCTTGGTGTTCACTAACATGTGTCTTCCAGGAGCATATCTGACACAGACTAGAAGTTACAAACAGAAGAGTTTGAAGCATCTTCACTCAATTGCACTTGGGCAAGCTCAGATGAGAAAGAAGATCTTATGCCCAGCAGCATTCTGTTCAACCAGCACAAAGGAATAAGAATAAGGAGGGCTGCTCACCCAACAGCTTTCCTCAGAATAAAGAAATCATTTCATGTTTCCTACAAAGCAATTTATAGGAAGAAAAAAAAAACAAACAGGCATTTCATAAAAGCTTGTGAACTGCAGGCAAGAAGACAGCATACCTCCCTCCTCCCACCTGCACTGCCTGTAATTTATGTCTTCCACCTGGACGCACCAAGTGGATCACACACACAGCAGTCAGCACTGCCTGCTTGAGAGATGGGTACAAGAAATCCTTCCCTGCAACATGCAAAGCTCTCACTCCAACAGCAACTCATTTAATTCTCACAGCACCAAGTCATCTCCTGTCTAAGGTGACCATTGCAGTTTTGGATCATCTTATTTTCATGCACGGTGTCTGCTCCAAGGTTCTCCTGGAATAGCAAATCCCTCGCTTACTGATCTGTTGCTTAGTAATTCTATACTTCCAGGAAGGAGACAGATGTGTGTCAAAGCATTTCAGAACCAAAAGATACACTGTTTAGGAGAAGATTTGATCTCCTCTCCTGGAGGGGCAGTGCTGGTCATCTTCTCAGCGCTAGGAAACTGGGTGAGGAGCTTCAGGTTGAAGTCTTCCCTCCGTTCATACTCCTTGCCACGGTAGATAAAAATTTTGTTCTATGGGCAGCAGAAAAAAAACCACTCAGAATTAACATCAAAAGCACTGAGAAAGAGCTTTCCAAACATGCATCAAGAGGTGACAGAGGTTTAGATGGAAGATTTTCTCCTAGCTTAACAGTAGAAACATATGAAATGTAAATGTTCCCTGATTTTAAGTAATAATTGGGAAAATGTTCTAGTATGCTGCACCCTGCCCATCTGACTCACTTTGGCTGGGTTCTCCTGTTACAGTTAGCACACATCCAGCAGTGCTCAGCAGCAATCTCAAACAGGAAGCATCTCTGCATTTTAATTCTTCTGCGTGGGACCACACTCTCACTAATGTGTTTGAGCAATGCAACGAGCCCTGTCCTTAAAACAAGGTTCAGACTAAAAAGAGATGGGCAAGCTCTTTACAAGCTGCACATTTTCTAACAGCAACAATAATTCTGAAGTAGCTTATAGGATACTAATACCAAAGGTAGACTCTGTTTAAGCTCGTATGTCAACACAACAGCGATCTAACAGACCCAACTGCATTACAGCAACTTTAATAAAGCAGTTAATTAAAAAAAAATTAAAAAAATCAGACTCTAACTTGTCTTTTTTTCTATGCTGAACAGTTTTGAAATACTTCAGGGGTTCCTATCTCTCAGTAGCATTCAAAGGACAAAAAGAGTTTGGCATCTGAATCCCCCTGGGGGAGTTCTGGATTTTAGGGTACCCACAACTCCAGATGTTGAGTACTGAGCAACTCTTACCCGGAGGAAAGAGGGGAAACCCTGACCGTAGTATCCAACTGCAAAGTACTCTGGTTGAGGTCTCATTGCCTTCATAATGTTTTCATAAAAAGTAGCTCGTTTTTTCTGAAAAAGAAAAGTCAGCATTTTCACTCTGGAGAGCTCAGTGACATTGGCAGGCTGCAGCTCGCATTCCCAGTGACAAGAGCTGATCTACCAGCTTTCCCCTACAGAACACTTCCTACCATTTCTTTTTTCCTTACAGACAATATTTATCCATTTACTTGGTTAAATATTTGGTCTGCCTGGGCCAGAATCAACTCCATCTCCTGGTCTGCAGAACAATGCCATGTTTTTTGGGATTCCAGAAGGATACTTGGAATCTTTCACCAGTGTAACACAAATTAAAAGTAAACATATTCCAAAGCCGAGCAGACACAAATGGTGACAAATGTCAGAGAACTGGCAGAAATAATATCGGGCAGATGATTCTCATATGAAAAGACATAAAGACCATCTGGTTACATTCTTAGCAATTAGAAAAAGTCATTCAGAACCAAGGCCATTCTATAGGCCTGCGCTGATGCACAGCAATTTTACAGCAGGAATGAGAAGGCAATGAATTTATGGAGCCTGATAACACGCTATGCAAACGTTAGCTTATTTGATTAACATTAAGGATGCTAAACATCTTCACACAATATTGTCATGCTAATTGCAAGGTCAAAACCACATACTGTTAAAGACAGAAAACATTCAAGAAAACATTCTTCTAAAACACCCTATGGTTTTGGAAAGGTCAATATGTTAGTTTGCTCTTAACATAATTCTGTCTGGGGCTTATCTTGCTCAATGATATTAATTTAAGCAATTAGCAGCCTGCAAAAAATAGAGGGAAAAGTTCTTACCAAGACATTACTGAGTCCCTCGTAATCGAAAACCTTGTTTTCATACATGTCAGCCAACTCTTTGCTTAGCTGAATGGCTTTTTCCCACATCTCCAAGAAAGATGAAGGGAGGGAAGTAGGGGAAGAAGAGCACAAAGAAAAGATTCAGTTAAAAGCATTCACCACCACATGCAAGTCACACAAAAATTCAGCTGATTTTAATGCACGCAGCAGTTTAATGCACTGCCAATGTTCTCTTCGACTCCACGTTGCACATTTTTTGCAATGACTGCCACAGTCACAGCTTTTCACATTTGTCAGTCAGTAAATTAGAGAAGCCCATGTGTTCTCCTCCTGCACTGCATTATCCCATTCACCAGGCTTCCCTGGGTCTGTCTCATTTAGACTTCATAGAACCATCCACCCAAAAGGCAACTGACACAAGTTTGCTATCAGCCAGATAAACCACATTTATTGCAATGCAAAAAAAAAACAACTAAAAACAACCACCATACCAGTAACAAAAGCCATCAGCCAGGAAAAGAAAGGAAAATACCTGTGGTTTTCTCATCTAGACAGTATTGAGAATAGGACTAATTTTACAACTTGTTAGTTCCCTTCAACTAACAAGGGAACAGGACTGAAACACATGAGACAAACAGGTTTGCTGCTCATGCTAAAGCTTGGTTTGTTTAAAAGCCAGGCCTTAATCATCACGGCTTGTTATTCCCATTGCAAACAACTTCTGGCAGCTATTTTCACCAATCTAAGCACCACTGAACCCCAAGAACACCACAGAAACTCACCTTGCCCCTGTCAAAGAAGGAGATAATTTCTTGGTAGAGCTTCTCCTTCAGTTCCTGTTGTGAGTAGACGTAGTAGCTGTCCCTCTGCAGCAGATGAGGGACACATGGCTTCTCAGACCACTAGCATAGAGGAAAACAGGCAAAGCTGAAAGAACTGGAATATATGCAGACGAATAAATCTTCACATTGGACACACTAACCTACTGCATGGATGCACTCATGACAAACCAGGCATCAATGCTAAGAGAGGACAAGAAAGTTCTGCAATGATGTTAAGTCCCAATATATCTGCAAAAAGTGTGAGATTGTGGCTTAAGGTCCCCGAATGAAACACTAAGTGAACTTGTCTGCTCTTTCACTTCACTTCTTCCATAGATTAACTGAAGTTGACTTAAATCCGAATTGCAGTGACATGCTAATGCACTTACTGTTCACACAGAAGTGGAAGAAACAGTACCTTGACATGGGCATTTCCACCCAGCTCTCTACAGTTTACTGTTCACCAAATGCATGCAATAGATCGATGCTAATAATATTTTTGCATTTAGCTGCTACGTAATTTGCAACATTAGGAAGCTCCTTAGCAACCAGTGGAACCTAACTTTTGCAAAGTCTCTTTAAGAACAAATAGAAAAAGGAAAAAAAAAGTGTGCATTCTTTATTCTGCATGCACTTCCTCTAAAACCCATCCTCTGATAAAGGAAACTAAAACTGCCTTCAGTGCATTACCTGGAGCAACTCTGCATGGAGGAGGAGGGTGTTTGCGGCCTCAGTGAAGTTCTCACAGTCCGTGTGCAGATCCCGGAGTTTATACAGGTATCTAAATGAATGCAAAGCAATTGTTACCTTATGTGATGGACTGCTTTGTAAGTGTGATGAAAAACGAGGAAGTAAAGGCTTCTGTGCAGGTCTATGGAAGGAGTCAGCCTACCTGATATAAATGTCCTCTCGTTTCTTCTCTTTGTAAAAATTCTGCCAAAAAGTAGAGAAAGAAACAGTGCAACTGATGTAAACCACCATGGATCTGCATAATCATTGCTAGACAAGTAACTTATGGATCAATCTCAGATTTCAAAGATGTTTGCTATCACTTTGCCACTAAGAGGTACATTTGCCTCAAATCCCCCTGACATAAGATGGAGCTAAAAAAGGGGCTAAGGGAAAAACAGAAAGCAACTTGTCCAAAGGTACACAATTATTCTTCACAGTGGAGCACGGAATGAAGTTCACATCTCCCAAGCTATCAGCTAGTCATTTTTCCTGCCCATATTTCAGGACCTCAGGTTACCATATAAGCAAGGCTCAGACACATGATTTGCTTTTGGGTTATATACCTACGTTTTATAGCTGCCAATAGATGGTAGCCTGATTTGGACCCGTAATTACCCAAAAGGAACAGAGAATATTATCTAAAATCCTAAAAAAATTATTTTAGTGGCCTCTTACTTGATGGCTTTCTTCCTAGAGACCAACAAAGAAATTACTTGTCCAGTGAATTACTCTGCATGGCAAACTGAGGTTACCGAATTCCTACTGCAGCACCCAATCCACCCCAGGACCACAACACAAAAGCCAGGTCACCAAAGCTGCACCCCATCCAAACCCAGCCTTCCCATACCAGCACGTTGACAGTGCAGCTCATGCGGTTCTCCTTGCTTTCATCATGCATGATTGTTCTGTAGTCCAGCAGGTTCTCCAACAAGCTGCTGACCAGCCAAGCAAACTTTTCTCCAGAAGCAGAGAGATATTTATGCTTCCGACAGTGCTCCAGGAGGCTGCAGACAAAATCCAATGAGATGAAAGGCAACATGTCCAGGTCAGATATCCAAATTGGACGGGTCAAAGCTCATCTTGTCAAGCTCTACTCTTGGTGCTTCAAGGCCCTGACTGGGTGAGCTCTGAGCCTGGGTGGACTGACCCCAGGGTGTCACTGGCCTTCCTGGCCACAAGGAAGTCAACCTGTTGTACACTGGGACACCCAGGCCCTTTTCCCCATCGAGTTCCTCTCCAGCAGCTCGGCCCCTGACCTGTACTGATGCATACAGTTATTCCTCCCCAGGTAAGACTCTACACTTGCTCAAGTTGAATCTCAGCAGCTTTGTCTCTGCCCAACCCTCTAGTCTGTCCTGGTCTTGCTGAATGATGGTGTGTCAGTCACTCTTTCCAGCTCTGCATCATCAGCAAACCTGCTGAGGGTGGACTCCATCCCTTCATGCAGGTCGTTGATGTGGATGTTGAACGAGATCCAACCCAGCACCAACTCCTGGGGAACACCACTAGTTACAGGCTTCCAACTGGACTAGGAGCCACTGATTACATTAGGGTTTCTGTTTCTTTGCTTTAAGAAAATAGCCAGCTACACTGTAAACAAAGAGCCTCCATCTTCACTATAAAACTTACAGTTTCTCCAGCAAAATTTTGTACTGTTCATCCCCTCGGCCGCCCTCAACTTCCTGGTCCAGTCTGGTTATTAACTCGTTTTCAAACTGAAAAGGCAAAAAAAACCTGTTAAGTGGACAGCAGCTCCATAAGGCATGATCAGCAATGCTTGTGGCTGGTGCTCTGAACTACCATTATGCACTGGTTTTACAAGCCAAGCTAGAGAATGCTTTCACTGTTAACCAGAACAAAAATGCAAAGACAAGGATCGAGCAGGGAGATATGAGTTCTCCCCTTCTCATCCCACAGACACTGGAAACTGATGCTCTGGGTAGTGCCTTCCCTTCTTCCCCATCAATCAGCAGTTCAGTTTTGCCATGAAGGAAAAGTAACTTTAATGACCAGCTATAGATGATAATGATGATTCACTCACCCTAAAGAAACTGCTCTACTACCACCAGTTAAGGGCCAGTCACCAACCTCTGATCAACATAAAAGCTGTGACTGCTAATTGAAGCAACTTCTTATGCAACAAGAACAAGCCATGAAGATACGCTCTGCTACATAAAGCAAGTCAAGTACATAGCTTTAGCTATAAGTCAATTACTGAGGTATAAAACATTCCTGTTCCAAAATATGAAGAATATCACAAATTTTACATACAGAAAATCCATGCCAAATAACCAGTTTCCTTCTACTGATTCCAAAAACCCCTGAGACCCTGGGGCCAACCATGCCAAACACTGATGACCTCAAGGGAAGAAAGATCTCAATACACACAGTGAAGCTGGGGTCTGCACTGTACAGAGTTTGGTGCTCAGGGAGATGCACATCACATCTGACAACAATCTGAAATGCCAAGGTGGCTGCCTCTTGGATGGATGTCTCCTATCCATCTCCAGGGAGAAGTCTGTCTACAGCATAACTAGAGGGTCCCCCGTCTGCCAGCTGAGACGTTAAGGTCTGATATCCCCAGAGGAAAAATGGAAGAAAAAGACCTTTGAAACTGCAGAGATAAGTTAACTTTAGTCCTAAAGAGAAGACCCTCTTTTTCTTCCTTTCTGTCTGGTGCTTTCTCAGTAGCAACAAAAGGGAACTTCCAGAGGAATTAGCACAGGGTTGGAACTCAGAGAACAGGTCCTGTTCCCTGCTCTGTCCTTTGACTTGCACAGCCTCAAGCAAAAGCAAATTGTGTCTGTGCTCTGTGTAACTGTTCCCCATTTCATAATGAGAGAAACAGCACTCACAACCCTTCCCATCTGCAAATACAGAAAGATACTAAAACAGAAGAGTTTACTATCTATTAAAGACATGCAAGGTAAAACCACTTAATAATTACTTCCAAAGTGTTTAGCACAATGTTTGTGTGTTTGGTGGTTTGGATTTTTTTTAGTAGTTTTGTTCTGGCTTGTTTGGTTTTGTTCAAATATTCTCTTCTCCTTCTTGCCCAATGCACAGCAGAACATTTGCCCTTAACACATGGGGCTCCCTTACCATATGAAAGTTTCTATTCCCACTGAAGTTGTACTCGCACTGCATCATATCAAAGAAGATGGGAATGGTAGCTTTCCGCAGCTCAGGCTCTGGGACCAAAGTTACCTCCAGGATTGGCCCCACCATTGCTGGAATAAACTTTATTTTGTGGGGACCTGCAAGAAAGGTGATGTCAGATACATCCTAACGGAACATGGTTGCTTGAAGTCACGTGATGCATAGATGTTCAAATGTGCAAAGCATTACTCAAATAAAATAAATACCATAAAACTCTGACATTTCGATTAGAAGGCCTTTTTGCTGGTAATATTTTGTCATTCATGCGCTGCAGCTCCAACTCCAACACTCAAAAACAGTCCAAAAAAAGAGAACAGGACTAAATTGCATGAATAATGCGTATCACAAGGCTCCCTGGGAAATTCTCCTCCTGGCATTCATATGGTAGAACTTCCTTTGTTATGTTTTAAGGAATGTCTTGAAGATCATCTCATCAGTGGACGCCAAAAAGGATCAGCTTTTGAAGGTCACTCAGTGAAAAAGGAAAAGGAACTCTGTCCTTTTGAACAGCTGGACTTAGATGTATTTCCCCACATTAAATACAAAAAGCTTATATGAAGAAATAAGCTATAAGAAATCCAGCTTAACAGCTTGAACAAAGATAATTCCTTAGATGGAACTCACCCAGATTATACCACATATCCCTTATTTTGAAGCCAATTTCTTTCCTCATGTCCCCATACCTAGAAAGAAGCAGAAGAAAAAGATGAAGGCCTATTTATTGAAGTTACCTCTGCAAAGCTGATGCCTAAAAATAAAAAGGTCTGGTAACTTTTTAAGTGTAAACTCACTTCTTGATAATTTTGCTGCGCTTGGCTTGTGAGAAGGTCTCCAGCTGGAGGGATTCGTGAGTGAGAAAGGCCACTGCCAAATGGAAATAGTTATTCCAGAGCTGTGGAAGAGAAACAAGTCCAAAATAGGAGAAGGAAAAGCTGCAAAGGAAAAGCAGCAAACAAAACAACACAGACACACAGGTCCAAATGCTGTGGATCTCACAGTTAACGAGGAAGGTTACCAACAAATAAGTGCAGTAGCACAGATGAGTCTGTCTTGGCCAACATAGAATCTTAGGTTGAAAGAGACCCCATAGCAACTTAAAATCTACCACCCCTTTTACCTTGGACTTTCCAGCCTAAGGAAGTGACAATAAGTGACATCCCATGGTATTTTAACCAGTCAAGCACAATTCAGCTTTAGCCAACAGACCACTCAGCTTGACCTTATAAATCCTATAGCAGTTGCATTGGTTTGTGCTCACTGCTGCACTAACCACTGCTCTGTAATTCAGAATGCAGTGACTCAGCTGACTCTACAGACATTTTCCACTGGCAGCAGTGGGATTTGCTTGCTCTCCATGCCCCTCAGGAAACACTGATGTCCAAAAGAAAATCAAGAAACAACGGAACTGTTACCTGGAGTTCAAAATTTGTTTGATCCAGGAAGAAGCGGTTGAGCACAGAGGTAAACTGGTTCACTGCCCGAAGGAAAACCCTGAAAGAGGTAAAAATATCAAAGAAAAGGTGACTTTTGGAGGAAAAAAAAAAAAAAAGTAATGCTGTACTCTGGGTTTACATGTCTCCTAAAGGTAAGCTCAGTTGAAAAGAGCACGTCTCCAAATGAGATTTGGGAAGAAATTCTTTTGCAGTAAAGAGACACTGAGGAGAAGCTATTCCTCTGTTTCTAACCTCAGCTGGAGGCAGATGAAGAAACAAAACACATTTTGGCTCAGTCTGTATGAATGCAGCGCTGTTCCAGATGATTCCTCCTCCAGAGCTCAGCCTACCCTCAACACTGATGCATTCAAATAATTTGTCACCTCCAAGTCCTCCTCCACACTGCAGCCCTATGACAAACTTCGTATCACAGGACAGAAATGAATCTGGATTTGCAGGCCAGCACACTGAATCTGTGAGCATGGAACCACCCTCCTTTCAGAAGGAAGACGACTCCAAATCAGACTTAAAATGGCAGCACTGCATACCTGCTCTGCATCATATTCATGACCATCCAGTCAGACGCATAGACGTTTTTTCCAATCAAATCCTTAAACATAATGAATGTTTCCATCAGGAAGTCCTGTTGGAAAAATAAAAAGCACAGGTTGAAATGAGAAGCCTTTTTATTTGCACAGAAGTACAGGGAAATGTAAGCATTTGCAACTGCAGTGATTAACTACTGTATTGATTACCTATCTATACCCTGTACCTCCTAAGAAGGATCTCTCATTGCAGGAATATGTTCCAATAACTAAATTATTTCTGACATCTTCATCCATTCCATTGCAGAAGGAGATCAGGTTCTGTGGAATTATTCCTGTTTAATTAAATCTACCTTTACTGTTCCAAATTAAGCCATGCTGTAATGAGTTCTGGTGCACAAGATGGATTGAAAAGCAAAACCAACATTTGAGCACTTGTATCCAGAAGCCTGAATAACAGCAGCACAGCAGCCCTATGCAGTACCTTCTATAAAGATGGAAACCCAGAACATATTTTTTGTTTCTCCAACCACGTCTTATTTGAGAAATGCTGTTACAAAGAGGTAATTAGCAGAGCTTCAGGTGCATGGTTTAGCATATTATCATAGTAAAGATACACTCTGCACAAGTGTCAATCTGCCCCCAACAATGTCAGCACACCTGAAGTCCTTGACAAGGCAAGGATAAGAAAAAAGGAGAAAGACAGGATGAGTGAAAGGAGATATATATATCAATAATATTGATCTCTCTGTATTGTGGTCCCTACAGACAAAAATGCTAACTGTGGGAATTTAAATAGATTCTGTTCTTTGCAAAGACAGATCAGCATTCAAAAACAGAGGGACACAAAGGTCACACAAGAAATCACCACCTTGCAAAGAACACCACCCAAAAAAAATCATTCTGTGAGGTCGAACAGCTTGCTCTGTAGAATTGGCAAGCAATTCGGATGTGATGAGAGAAATGGGCATTTGGTGCTGCCTCAGTGAAAACCCTCCAGGCGTTATTAAATCAGAGCTTGACTGAAAGGTTTGGGCTTGTCCAGGGGCACCTTGAGGATATGAATCAACTTATTTGTGTTAAACCAACCAAGTCATGATGCTACGCCAGGGCTGAAAAGAAACAAAGCATGTAAAAACCAACAGTAAGCAACAGAAAGCAAGAGAAACAATTATTGCAATACCAAAAATAATGCAACTTTGTATTGGCATTAACAACTTGCACATCATCACAAATGGAGTCTTGCTTCTGTAGAATACTGAGATTCAGCAATTGTAAGTTGGTATTTTGGATCGATACCTCTTTAAACTATATTCAGGCAGCTTTAATAATTACATAAATTCACTCTCCTGATAAGTCTCTGTGCAGAAGCTGTACATAAACACACAGAAACATACAAGAAATACTCCATTTCAAGCAGAAGATGCAGAGCTGAAAGGGCAAAACAAGATGCACCTTGATTTCTGTTTTCTAATGAACTCTTCATAAAACATATCTGCAAAATATATTAAAAGCAGCTCTAAAACTAGATGCTGAATGCTCCTATTGACTATCAGCCCCGTGGGCGCAGAAGTGACAGAAATGTGCGTGTCCTGTAGGTGGCTATGTTGCTCAACAGATTGCAAGCAATTCCAGCTGCATAGGGAACCAAAGCATCACCTTCCCATCCAAAATGAATTACAGCCCTTTTTGTGTGGGTTTTGATGTATCTTTTACAGGAAGAACACAACTTCTGGCTCCTTCCCAGGCAGTATCTCAATACGCAAGCACCTTAAGTTGCAAAATTAGGAGCACAAAGACACGTTGTGCTATGGAGACTTGAATAAATCCTGCTTTTGGTTCTGACTTCTCCTAGAGCAGTTTGCTGACAAGCCTAGTCAGAACAGTTGGTTCTAAAGTCCTCAAAAACCAAAACTCCCCCCCACAATCAAACCCTGATGTGCCCCCTGGTTTTATAGTGAAAGTCTCTGAGAAGATGAATTGTACACAGATGTAACAGGGAGAGAACTACTTCCACTGCCACCCACTAAAGCAAGACATTCTGGTTTAAATTAGAATTCACTTTTAGGGTTTTAGCTATCATCCCATAGGACTTCATTAACAGAAGGCCTCCTGGTTTTCAGAAATTAATGCAGATATATTTTGAAAATTGCTGTCTTTTCTTTAGATGCACTTTAGATGCACTTGAAAGCTTTCTAGTCTCTTAATTAAGCTGGGAGGTGGGATGAACTAGAAAGAAGTAGATAAAGAAACAATCAAAAAGTCACACAGTGAGAACATCTTCATTCTCTCCTTTGGTTCCTGACCTTTTACTTGCAGGGACCTGAAAAGTTATTAAACATGTTTTTATCAATGCTACCAATGCTAATATCTCAGACTTAAGTCTCAGCAACATCCATACCCATACCCATACCCAACTGCTCACGTCCAGCAGCGGTGATGTGAAAATATCCCCACTGGTTGTAGCTCTAGGAACACAGAAGTCATTGCTGATGAATGCATTCTCATCACTCTACAATGAATACAGTAACTTGCAATGACCTTTCAGAAGGAGAAAATAATTCCTCATGGACTAAGCTAATCCCTTAGCCAAGCTGACTTACAATAATGTCCTGCCTGGTTTTGAAAGTATTGATGTAATGGTTGTAATGGTAGTCATCCATCTGCCTCAGGATGGCTGTCATGCAGGCCACAAAAATACCCTAGAATATAAAAAACCAAAACATTTGATTATTTTTCTGTATTAAGCCCCAAAGCTCAAAGTGCAGCACCTGGCTCCAGGGTTCCACCCAATCAAATATCACTAGGCCCAATGCTGCACATATAGGTCTGTCCTGGCACTGTGTGTCTGGCTGCTTTCTCCTCTCCCTCATTCAGTTCAATTCCTAATTTTCAATAATTAAGTCAGAGTACAGCTTTCTTTTACACCCAGGGATCACAGTTTGCAAGAAAAACACATCCTCTAAACATCAGAATGAATATTTATCTATGTGTGTGTGTACATATATATGAATCACTACATTTTTAGTTGATCATATCCATCTGTAATTCCTACGGCTGACATGCTGGTAATAGCAACAACCTGAACTTAAACCTATGAAATGGCTATCTATGCTTGCCCTTAATCTTTCCATCTTTCTGCACACTTATACACAGTGCAAATCAGGACATAAAGCTTCCTACACTTTTAAGATGCAACACAGTAACCACAATTCCCATTTAGAGATGCCAAATCCTTCAGCACTTAGTCCTTTTTAGCAAAGGTGGCAAAAGAGCATTTTCTTCTGAGCAGAGATTCCTCGTGCATTAGAAAATGGGCTGAAACCAAATTCTCTGTGCATGGGGCCCAAAGGAACTCAGAATCACAGCCAACTGTGACTCAGCTGATCTGCGGCTGGAATGGAACCATCTGAGTCCCAGCACCCATCCACACACAGCGAGCAGAAGCCATGCTGGAGCGGCACAGAAGCGCTGCAGGAAGTGACGATTTCACAAACCACCCTACACAGCGAAACCTCCCAGGAGAATAAATTCCAGTATTACAGAGGGGAATGTAGTAAACGAAGGAAGGAAAGGGCTCTCACAATGTGTGGAGACTGTCTGTTCATTCCTATCACCGTGCGGTTGATCCTCCTCAGCAGGCGTTCCATGATCTGCTGGATGTGCTTGGCTGTGGGCCCCTGGGGGTGTTCAAAAAGGAAAATCAGACTATTTTCTACATATACTGTCCTATAAAGAGCTCCCTGACGTGGGAGGACTGCCCCAGCAGTGCTTAATTGCTATCTGAGGATGCAAAGAAGATGACTTACTACATAGCAACAGCTGATTTGAGTACTGTTGGTATAGGCTTAGAGAAGAGGTAACAGCACAGTTCATCTGTTCCAGCTTCACTGGCTCATCCCAGCACAGCTGAGCTGAACAATTTTATTTGACATTTGTCCCTTCATTTCAAATTACTCTTTTCAAAGCAACTTAGAATTAATTCCCATGACTCATAGGGTGCATAACTGTACTCCCCAACTGAATGACCATTGTTTCTATTCAGTGAGAAACCAAATACTCAAATCAGTGGCTCTGTAATAATCCACCAAGCCACCAAAGTAACTGAGAAGTGCATTTTGGTTCCTAGGAAGGAAAGAACTTTTCTTTGCACACAGCAATAACCACCAATTCAATCTCTGCATGACCTCTTTTTGGACACAGCTACTTTGTGTGAAGAGATTGAAAAAAAAAAATACAGAGCAACACAATAAAATTTCTATAAGCATTGGGGTTTTTTTTGAGGAGTTAAGGAAAAGACAGAATTAACCTTAATTTGCACCCCTGAGAGATCATGCTCACCACATCTTTCCTATCCAGCACTTCCAGAATGCTGCTCAGTAGCTGTGAGCTGGCCTCGTGGTCGGGCTTGTTTGAGTTGTCATCCAACTGGCCGCTCAGCTGGTCTATTAGCAGAGGGAGAAGAGCATCTCTGCATTCTGAAAATGAAACACAGCACCATATCTTGTTGGTTCTTCAGCAGTCCATATAAACAAGTAGCACACTGCAGCTTTCTGCTCTTAACTTTAGCTCTGACACCAAAACATACACTTTAACCCACTCTGACAGACTAAGAGAGACAAATAATCCATAATGGTATGTGTTACACCAAACAGGTCACACTCTTCCTTGATTTTTAAACCAACATGCTCCATCAGGATCTCACCATAGTTAACATTGCATAAACACTGAACAACAAAAAGTTTCAAGTTCTGGAGCCACTAAGGCGAGGAATATTTCTGCAGATGGATTTAATTGTGGACTACTGCTGATGATTGATTTAAATGCGTAAATGTGAAAGACATTTTTGTTTGCAAAGGTGCACAGCTCCACAAAGAAACCACTGACCTCCATTCACTACTCACCAGGCTGCTTAAACAGGTCACTCTCAACAATCTTGGTCATGCAGTTCAGCTTCTGTCGAACCAACTGGTTGTCAGGAATACTCTGGATGAAGTTGCCGAAGAGGTTGCTAACATGCAAACCACAGAGCAAACAGAACATCAGCATTTTTCACCCAGCGTGTTTCCATCCACACTTACACTGCCCTGCACCTGGGCAAGTAGAGCAGTTTTGCCCCTGTGCTGAATTGTTATTTTCTTATTAACTTGTTTTGTACAAACTTAGCAAAGCAATCAGTAGAACTGAACAGCACCCAAAAACTGCAGGCAAAAGGCTCTGAAAGTAAAATTTGCAATAAACATGCCATAAAAGCTTGTAAATAGGAGGTACTGTACATCCTCCATTGCCAGGGTAAAATAATCATACAAAATGAAAGCAGAATTTTGCACTGCTGAAGCCTAAGACACTGCTAGGCACAATGGCACATCCTTCCAGATGCCCCTTTCATGACAAATGATGACTCATGTTAATCTTAGACTCCATTAAATTAAATTCCATGTACATTTGCTGTCTGTCTGCTGTTGAGAGCAAATTATCCGTGTCAGAACAAGGAAGCATGAAAGGGAAGTTCCTGGTAAAGCTACGAACGCCAAAGAACAGAAGTCCACAGTGTCATGAATTTCTTGAAATAATACAATTTTTGTTTTGTTTTCTGACCAAGGTTGTGTCACACATTTCAGTCTACTTCAGAAGCACTCATTAAGAATTGGAAACTTGCACATTTCCACACATGGCTCTCCAGTCCTTAAATTTTGGATTAGAACAGATTCTCAAAGCTCCTAAGAAAAAGCAATTGAATGGCATAGACTGCTTTGAAGTAATCTGAGTTCCTCCAGAGCCCTGGAAGGAGCTTCCTATGAAATCACGCACTGCACACATGAGCACATCGTAATCAGAGCAGCTGTTTTTAGGAAAGTTTCTTATTTTTTTCCCCAACAGATGAGTTGAGTTTGGAGGACAAACTTCATTTGCTTACCTGAGTTGAACAGGGTCAAAGACTAGTTTGACATCATTGATGATGCTTGGCAAATACTTTAAAGCTGCACCCTGCAAGGAAAAGAGAGACAGAAAGCACACATGGAAACTGAGTGAGATTGGGCAGTTCATTCTGGAAGGGTGTAAAGCCTCAACAGCAATGCCCATGGCTCACGTGGCAAATCTAGCTCTGTCAAGAGCAAATATGCAGACACCTGCAAAGATCTGGCTTGAGATCAAATCTATGCATCCAAAAAGCCTCCAGCAACTACACAACTGCAGCACAGAGTGGAAAAAGTGAAGGAGGAAGAATTCAGAGCCAAGTTGGTTGGTTTTTTTTTGCAAACATCCTGCAGTTCCAGGGATTAAGCTCCTTCAGCACGTCCACACACAGAGGAATATGTTAAACAGTTCCCACAATGTGGCTTTTATAGATTCTATAGCATCCAAGCACCTGGGTGCAACCGTAACCAAAGGCCTCTGGGTGATGCTCCATGGCTGCTGCCAGCAGGAACTCTGCTTATCATAAAATCAAAGCTGGACTTCAAATGACCCAAATACTCACTCGAAGTCTAGAATCAATCTTTCCTTTAAGCACAGAAAGGCACATAGTTAGAAGAACTGAAATAAACCATCTAGAGGACTCACTTTGCCAATTTAGCCAGGCTTACTGCACGGTTGCTCTGCTCCTCCTTGGAGCCCAAACACAAGGTACATAATCCAGTCCAGGCCATAAAAACAAGCAAATACACAACCAAAGATGCTTTTAGGAACCATCTGCTTTTTCAGTACTTTCATTTCAGGATTATGTTCATTTCTGTAGTGGTGTAACATTTGCATCACCATCACTTGGCACCAGTGGTTGAAGAGCCTTTCATGCCATGCTATGTTACATCTTGGTTGTTAGCTTTCATCCTAGCAGTTGCTGTAGGGTTTTCAGCAAGAAGCTCACATCTTCATTTGATAAATTTTATGGTTTAAATGCCTTTTTTCCTTTCACATTCAGCACTGCAACAGACATTCTGAAGATTCTGGTGTGATTCATCTGCATGGGATTATGCACCTCAAAGCTTGACCCTTTTTCTGCCTTCCCCCAAATGTATCAGTTGATGTAATAAAAGGCATTAGCTCTTCCTGCAAATTATGCATACCTTAATCTTGACAGCCTCCTCTAAAGGACGGTCCATGAGGACATTGAAGGAGAAGAACAGCTTGCGTATTGCATCATTAAATTCATCACCATCTTCACTTTTCCCATAAAACCTATAAAAAACAGAAAGCAATGTAGTTACACACGTAAATCTAGGCTAGCAGAGTCACAGCAGCTGAAATATCATTTTATAGTTGGGAAGAACATCTTATATTTATCTCTTCTACAAAGAAATGAGTGCAAAAATGGCATTTGGGATTCTGCAGTTACCATAGGAGTAATTTCCTGATGAAACTTGTAACAGAAAAGCTGCATTTCTCTAGTTGCCAATGCCTCAAAATCCACTTGGTTTCCAAGAATCAAGTCGCTCATTTCTGTCTTTAAATGAGTTTCAACAAAACTGAAGAGTATTCTCTCCAGTGATACTGGCTGGAAGCACTGACTTCCATGAAGAGACACAGTGAAGATAGCAGTGACAAAGCTCACCTCAGGTACAATATTCTCGACTGAACGATGAATCGGAAGAGGTATTTCAAGGCTTTCAGAGCAGCAAACAGCAATTCTGTCTTGCTGGAGTCATCAGCATTTCCCACGTAACAGTTCAGCACTTTAGTGAGTTTCCTTTGGAGAATCAAAAAGGGGAATAAATAAAGACAGAGTTAAATTTCTGTGCATGTTCAGCTTCGTTATTCCAGAGAGGACCTACATCTAACAATCCCAAAGCAGAAGCTATTCTTTACAGCTTATTTTATTCTGAAGCTTTTGGCTTCCTTGGGTGCCACGTTTTTATGACCAGCTCCATGGATGAACCACGGCTGCCATATCTACCTACAAATCCCAGTTGTATTTTTCTTATTCCCTAAAATAAAGGAATCAGGGATTTGGAAAACCTATTTTAAAGTGGACTGACATCTTCTGCATGTGTCAGCTTTCTGCTACACAGAGCTCAAAGTGCTTCTCAAGCAACACTAAAGTTGCACTTATTCACTATCCAGTCTCTCCTGAATTAAAGGATGGGAATCTTACTGTCCTTCAACCAAAATCCTCTTCATTAAACAACTCCCAGCACTCCAAGTGGTGTGTGAGCAATAGATAAGTATATGACAGCTTTTGCACTTGCTCTGCTTCCACACTACCAGCATCCAGCTTTGAAGTTCAAAAATGCAACTGCTATGGGAAAACAAAATTACTCCCACCATCCTCAACTGCATTTCTGAACGTGAAGCACTGCAAATTTGTTCTACGTAGTTCCAGCAGCAGCAATACCTATTAGATCAGGCTTTTAATGAATTTATCCTCTTTGATCAATTCCCCTGTCCCTGCAGTGACTTACAATGACATCTTCCATACAGACTGACTGCAAGAAGCCTTTTTTTGATAGGAAAGCAGGCTGATAAACACAAAGACCCTTTTGTAACACACACACGCACAAAATAAAAATAAAGTGTGAGTACTGCAGGTCAAAAGACAGTCTGAATCACACGCCCTTAATGCAGCATTTGCCAAGCCAGCAGCATCTTGTCCTTGCAGAAAGGAATTCTGACAACGGAAACTTTTAAGAAAGTAAAAAAGCTAACTGCAGGGTTTTTTAATTTCCTGGAAGCAGAGAAGAACAGGACAAAAACCAATCATCTGGGGTCTATGCTGTTGTGACCACATTAGTTTAATTCACTATCAGTGTCAGAGAGATGCTGCCTGGAGGTCAGTCTGTAGGTTTGTGGTTACAATACTTACACGTATGCGAGAGTTGCACTGAAGTGTTTGTAAATGTAAGTTTCAAGTACAGGGTTGAAATGCTGGAACTTTATGTCTCCAATCAAAGAAATAATAAATACCTGCAAAAAAAAATTAAGGAGAGAGATGATACAGAGATGCACAATCTTCAACTAACTGCAACACAACTCAGTCTCCAATCATGTCATTGGTTTTTGTTGATTTCTTTTTCTAATAACGTTGATGGAAAAAGTCACTCACCAGTGCATCAAACACAAGGAAGTCATAGGTTTCATTTTCTGACATTTCCATCATTATGTTGAAAAGTGCATCAAGAGTGTCTTGCAAAAACTAGAGGAATGAATAGCAAAAGTGTCAGAAAGGAGCACTGGAACACTGCACAGGAGTCTGTTCTTTTGGATCGTGGTTCCCCTCCAGCCTAGCTCAGTTAAACTGCGAAGTCATACACAAAAGACCATTTTTAAAGGGATCTTATGTTCATTCCTTATGTTCATTCACATGCTGCTCATGATGATCATCCTATTCTCAGTTGTAAGAAAAGATCCTCCTTGCTCTTATCACCTCTGATTGTCCCCACTTCATTTCTGCTCTACTGCTTCGTTTAACCAGCCATTATTCTGCAGCTAGAACAACAATTATCCCTAGCCCACACAGGGAGCTCTTGGGTACAACACAGTGATAAACCTTCAAAGTATCTGCACAACAAGGAGACTCAAATCTCTGTGTATACCTTTACAATTTCTCCTCCTTCCACCTCCATTAACTTCCTCAGGTTGTGGGCAATGTTCTGAGAGTTGGAACGCCAGTTCAACAAACCCAGCAGGTCAACTAGCAAGGACAGAACATCAGCAATTAGAAACAGATTACAACAACACAGCTGACTTAATGGCTGTAGAATAGTACAGAATAAGTACTAGAGGTTATTTTTAGAATCAGCTTACAAGGAAAAGTCACACCGTGTTGTGCAGAAAATTACCTCGATGTGGCTCTTTTGTCTTGGCAAGAAAGTCAGCTTTGCTATTAATGGAAAACCTTGATGTACTTTGATAACATAAAGCATCCAGTAGACAATTCTGCAGGAGTCTCATTCACTCAGGAGAAGACACCTCAAACCAGGACATTTACAAGAGTACATGACTTTTCTTGTGCTCTGCTCTGTGTTTGCTTTAGAGCAGGAACTCTAAAGCAAATAAAGGCAATGCTGGTGCCAACAATGCTGGGACTGGGCTGTCACTGATGTGTGAAGCAGCAAGATTAAAGTTAAAGCAGTATGCTCACATGTGCCACAACGCCATAGACATCTGCAGAAAGAAATGGCCCTTTTAAATTCAAATACACAGCATGAAATACCACTGGGAGGCTAACAAAGACCTACCATTCTGGGTGAGTTTGGTAGAGCAGATTAAAGTGGCAATCTGGAAGCTGTCTTTTGTACTGTCTTTGTTGGGTGTAAAGTTGGCTAGATGGTGCAGACTCTTCCCTGAGGGGGTCTCCTTCTCCTCCATTTCCACTTTCGTATAAGGAAGAGTCAAATAGCACTTTGCATCTTCCATTTTCTTGTTATCACCCTGTTGGTTGACCACAAGAAAGAGGAGGGTTATCTCACACACCGAGCACTTCTCTGAACTCTTGCAGTTCTCATCTGCAGATACATTATCCACATAAACACTTAAAACATAGGGACAGCCACAGAAGGCTTTCAACACACTTTCATGTCTGTGGTCATTTACTTGCATTGTTTGGACTTCTAATTTTAAGGAATAGAAGTTGCCTGCCTCCTGCCAATGAATTCAGCTCTTTTAGAGAGTGAATCAAGCCACACACTGTAGGAGTTCAACCCACCCCATCCCACTGTAGCTTTCTACAGCAATGCATTGCTTCTTCCTCTTACTGTGATGAAAGGCACCATATCTCTCTCCCTGTCACACACTGATCTTCTAAATGAGGTGCTCACCAGGCCTGTTTGCTGCTTGCTGTCCAGTGAACAACGGGAGAAGAAAAGCATTGTACACACACTAGTACGTACCAGATTTGTGCCCAAGTCAGAAAACCTATCCCTTAAAGCTGTGTTGATGATAACTTACAAAAACAGGCCACTCTGCCATCATCCTGAAAGGAATCACTTAACATTCCCACAATGATACACCAGTGTTTACATTGCTTAGAAAAACATAAAGTAAGTCAAAAGAAACACTTTCATTAATTACACCAAAGTGAGGCCAGCAAATGCCAGAGCTACCTTATAAATAATCAAGTTGTGTTTGCCATCCTGTAGCGTTGTTCCGTCTGCATTCATCAGTTTCACAAAGCCCATGCCAAAAGCTCTCTCAGACTTATCCCTTGCTATAAGTATAAAGAAAAAAAATGTATTAGGAATTATCTTAATTATGCCCATACTGTTCATAATTCATGAAGCATCTTTATTTAGCACCATCACAAGATAATGTGTTGGAGGTAGAATGCTTCATGATCCACAGCAGAAAGCTCATCTCAGGGCACTTGGCTGATATCTGCAATTACAGAAAAAAACTTCCTCTCTGAATCAATCTTCCTTCTCCACGCAATTTCAGTGGCTAGCTTTTTGATAGATGGACAAACACAATTGTGCACACAGATTTTGGTAGGGATTTTCAAACTGACATGTGACTATGGATGCAAAAGCGTGTCACTGCATTTCTCAACTGCCTTAAAAGATTTCTTCCAAGAGACCAGTTTGACTTTACTGATCCTGTTTCACGTGGTTCTGAAGAAGTCTGCCGAAGTTTTGGCTCTAAATTTCTCATTTGCCTTTCACCAGTGTAATCAGAAAACCTCCTGTAAGATCATTAGACTGAATGGGACTGAACTGTGTGAAGGTCTCAAAAGAAATTAAAAGCATAGCTATACACAGAGAAGCACTGACAAAAGTCTTCCAAGAGGGCTAATGCTCTGCTCCCTATTTAACTCCAGTTTTAGAACAAAACCAGCACTTAATCTTTTATTAAGGCTATAAAAAGCTTCAATTACTTGTCTTTGCTTCCAATGACATCCCAACGTTGGAAACAAGCAGAATGCAAACTGGTACAGCACTGCAGAAACTCAAAAATCTCAATGAGTAGGAAAAGGGCAGTGCTCTGTTGGGCTTCTCTTTGAACACTTACATTCCTGCGATGATCGATGACGAAAAGTGAATCTTAAGTGGCAACGACTGACTTCCTCTATTGCAATGGATACCTACAAATGATGGGACATCATCATCAATTTACAGGACATTATAGTTTTAAATTAGTTTTACAACAATTTTAATTAATTGATTTTAAATCAGGTCCTTTTTCTACGCAAAGAAGCAAGATTATAAATTATGCACTCTTACCTTTACAGTTTCATACCAGTATGGTTGCTTGACTTGATAATAAACAACAGACTTATACTCAGAGACACCTTCGTAACCAGCACCAGGATGGATAGCTTTCTTTGGGAAAAAAAAATGAGGGTAGGGGGGGAAAAGAAAAGGTGAGGTCTAGAATGAAAGACAGGAGGTATTTGGGGTTGAAAATTTTCAAAGCATAGAGCTTGGGGAGTTGCTCAAAATCCATGCTTTCCAACCAAGGGATCTGTGTCACTTCATTTTTTACTCACATTTGATAATAACATAGAAAATTAGTGACTTCAAATCACTCATTGAGATCACCTCTAATCTCTCTTGTTCAGTATCATGCAGTCCTTGCTCACAAATTGAAGAATGAAAAAGATCCTATGCACCAGAGCTACCACTATCCAAATGAGCAGCCTTGTTCTCCTCTGCAAAGGCCATCATACCTCTTGGAGATTGCCATCCTCGTCATGTACAGACATGGTGACTTCTACATTCTTAGGAGTCTTCTTCTTCCCTTTGTCAAACTCTCCTTGTATCAGAGTGACATAGATATCATTTCGAACATCACCTAAAATCCACAGCACTCAATGAGTTCTTTTTACTGTATGGAGAGTCATAGAAGTTCCCCAGTTAATATCTAACATCATAGGGTAACACATCATCCTTTTCCTCTTCATAGCTATTGACAGCAGCTAATTCATGGCACCCAACATCACACCATTTCATCTTCATTTCCAATTGCAGAAAAGTTTTTACAACGTACCACTGTATTTTTATTTTCAGAGACCTCTGCCTTTATGCAACACCTTTTTAAATGCAGTGAGCTGTGTAGGTCTAAAGTAGTTCTGAATGGATAAAGCAAAGCAGGGTCAGAACTGTAAGCAACAAAATTATCTTTTCAACTAAAGACAGATCTTCCTCCAAGGAGGACTGATGCTATCATTTTTCAATATTTCTCAAAGAAGGCATTTTCACACAAAAAAATTGGACATCACCTTGAAATATCACAAAAAGTAAAAACAAACTGGCTTTAAGCTATCTTTGAAATAAACCTGTTCATGGCAGAAACTCCAGAATTTCACATGTCTCTTCTACTCCACAGAAAAGTGGAAGAATGTGGGACCTACCAGGAAGAATTATCTCAGGAAATCCCATTTTGCGAGCCACAGCAGTGGATCTGTCTACAAGGTGGGAAAAATCCTTCTGAACTTGTGCTAGGTCACCAGGAAGCAGCTTCAGGGAGACCCAAAGACCTAAAAAAAGGAAGGGTAACATTTGCTCACTGGGGTAAAAACCAGACATACAAGAGCAGGAGAATCCAGTACAAAGTACCTGGAATACGCAGTCAGTCATGTTCACTTAAAAATATTTTATGCCCACAATTGATAAAACAAAATAAAATGACATAAGTTGCAAGCATCAGCTAGAAAAGGAGGGTATATTTTCACTCAAGTAAGAACAGATCCTATTTTTAATCTCTCTAGCTCCCAAAGTGCTGGGGTGGCAGCCACTGGTACAAAGAACATTGGTTTAGCTTGGTGAAGGTAGCAAACTCCAGTAAACATCGATCTCTGGACTTTCATGAGCCATTTACTTTCCTCTGTAAGCAAGAGGAACCTTTCCCCACACCAGCTTTTCACGTCCTGCCTGACTGCTGTACCTTGCCCTTTATGATTCACTTCCTTTGCAGCGATGACTTTGTTGAAGACAGAAGTGAGGGGCTCATTTTCTCCAATCACATGGGAAGTTATCAGCGGGGACATAATTAGCTGTCGCTGTCTGATGTATGTTTCCATGGCAATCCTGAGAAGAACAACAACAGACTGGGAAGTGGATAAACTAACACCATGTGCTCTGCGAGACAAGGGCTGGCCAACAGCTAACTGTTTTCCAAGTAGTGTAATTACTTCTAAATTAGGACTTTTTCTTCACCTGCCTAAACCCAACTGAAAAAAAACATCTGAACTCTCATCACCGCTAGTCTAGGATTAGGATAAATAATTTGTCCCTAGTTAAAAGCTCTGTGAATACATTTGTAGCATGCTGAACCAGCAGCCTTAAGGACAACCACAAAGGCAGCCAGTTCTACTTTGCTCCTTTTTCCATCCACAGACTGCCTTGTAGAGCAGCTATGGCTATGGGGAACCACGCAGCTCAGCAGGTGGGGTCTTTTGCTCCCATTAGATGAACTGAGCTCTGTCTTCATCCGGGCCTCAGAGCTGCCCCCAGGAGATTATGTTCATTAACCAGCCTTAAATTAACATGACTAATGACACCACAGGGGTGTTGAACCTCTCCCTGCCAAACACATCTAGCGAGCCTGGATGTGGAACCAGATTACACTCCTGTTCTCACACTATCAACAAAGAACTAAAGCATATAAACATCCCCACAGACTCCCCACCCCTGCAGAGGCAACAAGATTTGGGTCTAAACTCAATCTGATTATAAGAAAAGAAAAACAGGGTTAAAAAAAAAAAAAGGAGACTCATGTTATTCTGCAAATTAAAATACATCCTTTTTTGCAGTCTTGCAGGTGCTAAAATGGTAGAGACATACAACAATCTCCCCTGAAAATATCTTGCAACAACATAAGCTACACCAAATGGATCACTATATTTAGGACAGTAATAAGCTGAGTCTACCCAAACAAGCTCCGTTCTAATTACTGTAATGTGCTGAGAAAGTGAGCAATGGGAGAGCAGGCAGAACACACACAAGTTCTAACATTTCAGAAATGCACATCACAATGGGGCCTGAATTTCTTTTCCAGGAAGAGGGAGAAATCTCTTTATAACTCTTTTCTGACTCGCCCTGAAAAGCTACAGGCTGGCAATGCCCAGGGAGCCACACAAGCTGACAAGGAGCAATGATCCCTGCCTGCTCAGGTGCTCCTCAAAACCTTGCCTCACTTCCATGACAATTTTTAAGGCCACATCCCCCAGACCCACATTATTTTGCTCTCTGCTCTTCTTTCCTCCTTCATATAATATGAATATCCACCAACTCCAGCAGCACTGCTAAGACTCCCTGAGTAACTTACTGTATAGACATGTAAATCCAGGGGAACAAAAGCATCAGAGGACCAACAAAAATCTTTTCCTGCAAAAAGCTGACTACTGCCATTAGCTAATCTATTTGTAGAGACCTTGGTCAGCTGCCAGGCTGCCGTACAAATTTGTCCTTCTCTGAAGGACAAGTGCCTTAAAAGAGCCAGATATGTGATGAACTCCAAAGTATGATACTTACTGCTGAAATGGAATAAAATGTTGCTTTTCCTCATCGTCCACCTTCCCATGTATGATATCTGTTATGTCCATCACTGAAACAACACAAACCCAACACACAGTTCTGCCAAGTGGCAAAAGAGAACACAGAGAGAGCTCTCCCTATCAGAATGGAAACAAAAGCTGCTTGTTTCGGTCCAAGACCACTCGTGACAGCAATGCAGAAGGCCACTCTCATCCTTTTAACTTTTTAACAAGCATATTTTTATTGGTGCTGAAGTCAGCACATGGGAGTGAATGTGAATATACGATACAAAAAAAAAAAACAACCACAGCTGGGATTCAGGCATTTCGAGACAAAAAAAAAAACAACACCTCTCCAAACGTTTAGGTTTCAAATGCTGATTATTTTGAAATTGTTTTCCCCAGGGACCTCAAGCAAGGCTCTTCACAAGCCATCACAGCAACTGAACAGGAATTGGATGTCTCATTCACCAAAGCTCCTTTGAAAAAATCCATCTTTATCCTATTAGCTGTGGGGAGCAAATCCCTCTTCTTCAAACATCTGAAAAGTCCACTGTACTGACAGCAGTGTGTTATCTATTCAGATGGAGACAAGCCAAAAAGCGAGCACTGACAGCGTGTCACCTTCATGTATGTGACTGAAAGATCTCAAAGGAGTATCAAGCAGCTCAGCATCATATTCTCAGTCCTCAAGAGATGCTGACATGAAAGAGTTAACAGGTTTGCTGGCATACAGCCTATGTTTCCTAATTCGCCTCCCAAACACTGGACCACACTCTTCTCTTCTGTGTCTGAATTTGCCATACCTGCCACACCAAAGGGCCTCCGGAGTCCACACGTGTGTTTCTTCCCATCTTTCAGCTCCATATGCCCCACTCTCACAATCTGACACACCAAGCTGATTTTCGGCCTGATCAAATCCGAACTGCTTAAATCCTGGAAGTTATTTAAAATAAAGTTACATCAATCTGCTCTATGAACAGGGGAGAAGAGGACAGAGAGCTTTTTGCTTTGTTAGACTGTACACTCTTAAAAAAAATACTTCTCAGGAGCATTCCTCTGAGGCTGCCCATGAGATCATAAGTGCCCATAAAACCAACCTAAATTGCCACTTCCACTAGAAGCAGAGGGGCAAGAAGGGGAAAGAATCCCAAACTCCAATGTCTGCAGCATGGGGAAGAATCTCCAGGATGAAAATACAACAACTTACAGTAAAGACTGCTTGAAGGTTATTTAGCTTCTCAATTTCCTTAGGCATCCCATTACTGCCCCAACGAACAAGGTAATTTTCACTACAAATGAAGCAAAAAAAAAGCAAAAATCAACATCTAACATTCCAATTATCCCAGAGTAGTTTGATCTTTTCGGAGTGTTTGAAAAGCTCTGCCAAAATATGCAATGACAACATGATTCTCAAGAGGCTCGTTTCACTGAAGGCAGAAGCCAGGCACAGGGGGAATGGCTACTCTCAGCTGACTGCATCTTCACACCTGATAACTTCAGTGATAGAGATAGATGGTGCCTGACACCTAAAGGCCTCCTTATACCTTGTATCCTCCCTGACTGGTACAAGATAGCCAGCTTTTAAGTGTGAACTTGCACTAATTTGACAGAAAACAATATGCGTGTATCACATCAAAAGAGAAGCAATGAATCAAATGCCTCAAAACAGTGAAAGAAACGGAAATTAAAGAACATAAAAGACACAATCTGGGATTTCACTACTGTATCACAGAAACACCCAGCTTTAAGAAGCAGAGTACAAGTGCTCATGGTCTTCACTTCTTAGCTGAAGTTAAATAATCCCCTTTCAAATCACTACTGGAGCAGCAACCAACAGAACTGAAAACACTTCTCTGCTGATTCTTGCTTTCTAACTTGCACTGGCTTCTTCAGAACAACTAAATTGCTCATGTGTACACAAAGAACCCCAACACCCTACCTGATGAATTTGGAGAGGTCAGGGTCATAGAGGCTCATTAAGAGCTCTGCATCTTCTCCAATATTACAGACAAAATTCTTGAAGTTTACATAGAGGCTGTAAGTGTGTGTTGTGTTAAATATTGGCTGCCCTCGGAGTTCCAAATTCTGTTGCAGGGACTGCAAAGAAGAACAGTGCTCCCATTAAAAACAACATAAAACATTTCAGTTCTGCTGCCAAAGTAGCACAATATCCCTAAGAGGAACGTACAAACACAGCAGGTACTAGTTCTGAGAGGAGGGTAAAGCCAGCAGCAAGAGATGTACCTTTTCTTCCTGGATTCTTTCATCAATCCTTTTGGATGCAGTTTCATGGGCCTTGAAAAGAGAGATTGTGCTGGTTTCATCTGGGTCCAAGATGTTCCCATTGTCATCTCGTACAACCAGGTCCAAACCCAGGATCCTGAGTAGCATGCAAACCAGAGGACAAAAGCAGCAACACGGTATGTAAGAAGCAAAGGTGACTGAGAGAGCACAAATGACAGATCAAGCTGTGGGCTGCACCAGGCTGCCAATATTCATTGATTCTATTCCTTCTAATAATCACATTAATGGTTTTCCCACTCAGAAATAGAACTTCCTCATCCCCTATATCCAGTTTCCCCATTAAAGGGAAAAATAATTAGCCATGTAACTCTGTGCTAAGATGACATCTTGTTCTCACTTACGTGTATTTAACATAAAATGGTAGGTATTTCTATGAAGCTCATGGGTTGTGGCTAATTATTATTCTTTGCCATAAGCTTTCTTTTTAATTGACTTATTTGACCTGAATCAAGTCTGACAGGTAGATAAATGAGTATTGGAGACAATCCCTATTCTGTATAAACCAGCGAAAGATGTCGTTTTGGTGGCCTATAGAACTGTATTGCTCAGTTGCTGATAAAGCAGTTTAGTTCACAACCAGCATCCAAATCCCAGCTCCAGTCAGCCGGGCACAAACTGTGCTCCATGGGAAATGCAGCCATGTGCCAGCATCTCTGCAGAATTAAGACAGGTAAGCTTTGCTGCCAAATTTAAAGAGAATGCTGGCATATGAAGAGCCAACTGCTACATGCCCACCTGTCACATTAATCACGTTCTGATGGGAACAGAAAGCTGCAATCACCTCCTTTCCAAGGCAAAACGTACAGCCTGATTCACTGTTGTTCTTGTGTGCTTCTTTACACCATTTTCTATTAATAGCCACTTACATCCATCCTCAAAACAGTTCCAGAGCCTGCAGTGGGATCTGGGACCCTCCCCTGCCCTCTGGATGTAGTTTGGAGTCTACCTGTTGCCATAGTCAATTTTAGCAGTGACTTTCTTCTTGAGTTCAGCCAGCTCATCTTTGGGAAGAGTCCCAGATAGTATCTGTGATCTCCACTCTATCAGGCTGTAAGTCAACTGTTGGACATGACGAAACTGTGTTGTTTTGTTATCCTACAGGAAGGAAAGGGACCATTTTAAGCTCATAAATAATAAACTGAAAACTACAACCTCAGATAACTTCCTGAAGTGTGCTCATCTGAATCCACCACACAAGCTGCATTTAATTAAAAATATCTGAGCAAAAGGCTTCATATGACACAACATGATTAAACCATGGGGAAAACTGTCCAGCACTTTGCACTGCCAAGGTTTAAGTGCCTCAAGATTTGGGGTCTGTCACTCTCAGAAAGTGTGACATAGCCTCACATTTTTTATGCATGCCTCCCGTTTGTTTCACCTATTTAGATACTAAGATTCTATGGTAAACTCTTTACCTGCAGAAGTCTAACAGTGACACCAAAACAGAAATAATAATGACACTGAAGCCCATAAGCTTTCTCTTCACACCTTCTACAGCCTAAAGAACACTTCAATCCAATTATTACGCATAAAAGGAACAGCAACAAAATGCAGCAGTATTTGAGATACACTGCCACAGTATTTCAAGGTTCCTCTCCTACTCACCACTAGCTCACAAGTGGATTGCTGTGCCCACGCCTGACCTCCAGACAAGAGTCTCATGGAAACCAGAGTAGCTCTGCTGAAACACAATCATCTCCCTGACTGGAGCCTATCAGCAAATAAGGGTGAAGATTATCTGCTCTTCAGAGCACTCGTTTTTGTTTGCGTTTGCACAGAATTCAGACTGCAAAATGCAGTTGTGAATCACACAATGCTTTTAAGCACTAGCAAAGGCAGAATGGCAACAGAGGTTTCTGAAAATTCTATACACTGGTTGCTCAAAACCCACCAAGGCAGAGATCAACCAAATAATGCAATCAGACCATGTGACTGAAGGAAGCTCCCCAGATACCACCTGCCCAATCTACCCAGGTATTCATCTGTCTTTGCCAAAGTCGCCGCATTTTCATCTTTTGTTACAAATGCAGCATCTGTAATCATAAAGAGGACATCAAAACCTGCATTGTGAAGTTTCCTTCTCCCATTTCTACTGTCATCATCTTTGATTAATGAAAATATTTTTTATGCTATTAACTGGTTCCACATCTTAAAAATTAGTTACCCACACCTCCTTCATAGAGCTTCAGATTCCAAGGCTGACAGTGTAATTACAAAGTGGATAGTGATGTGATAATAACCATATTTGCAGCAGAACGTGCCTAGATGAGTAATTAAGCCTTTTAAAGCATCAGCTGTTAGACTGAAGGAGGAAGCCAGGCCCTGTCCTCACTCACCAGCACCCAGTTAGCTGGGCACTACAACAATTCTGACCCACAGCCAGCTGCAAGGGCAGCTCATTTTCAGAAGGAAGGTGCCATAAATCAACTTACATCAGCTCTACTGGGACAAAGTTTATGGTTATGCAGCTCTAAAATGGTGGTTAAGAATGGGGCTTTTTTTCTACCACCAGCAAGCAGGAACTGGTCAATTGTGTACTGCAGGGACAGTCACCAGCAGCTGACTAATGGCAGCGTGTGGTATCAACTGTTAATGTTTAACTGTGAGCACCAACTGCTCACACACACCTGACAAAGAGGCTCAGTGAAGTTACTGCCCCATTCTGTAAAGGAGGCAGAAGATGAAATGACACCATTTTGCCCCTTCAGAACAGAAACCCAAAGGCAGCTACGAACTGGGACCCATCTTCCACTGGAGTTGGGTGAAGGCTCTGGGGGAAGCTGGGTTAGTCTACAGTTGATAAAGGGAAGGTACAGCAGGTGTATTTAGGAAAGAAGAAATAAAAGCGCCCTGTTAACCTGCAGCTGAAGTCGCCTAAAGGAATGCAACTCGGGTGAGCTTTTAGAGAAATTCAGAGCAGGCCTCAATTTGGCAGCTGGCTAAACCTGAGTTATCTCTCCGGCTGTTTACATTTGTTAACTGCTATTAACCAGCCCAAGCTAAAAGTGCCACCCATTTTTGTATTTGTTTGCAGTAGAGATAGACCCGATGGTACAAGATCTGCAGAAAAACACAGAAATTAAGGGGAAATAAAGCGCTGCCAAATAAAGAAATCCTCTGTATTTCCTTTCTGTCCTCAAATATCCCCTTCCTCCTTCAGTGGTGTCCTGTTTCTTTATTCTTCTTTCTCTTAATACATACTGCAAGGGAAAATAAAATAAATCCATCTCAAACCACAACATTTTCCAAGGCTATTTTAAGACTTATGTTGGTTAATCAAAGGAACGCGAAAGATTTCTGCTCGTAGGAAAAAGAGATTCTGAAACAAGTAATGCATTAAAAAAATAAAAGCCTATAAATAAAGCCAGGATCAAAAGTTCTGCTTTCACACAGTAATAATGTCACATATGCTTTCTCATTAAATTAAGAGGGTGGAATGAATTTTTGTGGTTTTGTAGACCACAAACAAAGTATACTTGTGGCCCTACATTTTCAATAGGAAAGCTTGCTCTGGATACTGAATGGTTAGAGCTAATTTAAAATAATTCTCTCATCTTAATTAGAGTCTCAGAGCACACACTACCATGCAGGCTGAACTCATTACTGACCAAAGAAAAATCGTTTGACTCTTCTTAGCATGCCTTAACAACCACCTTTGAAAGACAGCGAGTCATTGTGAACACCAGCTTCTCTGTGCAAGAATTTCACCTATCTGAGCAAAACTATCAAATCCATGCACTAACTTGGTTTGACTTTTCCATAGTGATTTATCACATGGCCAGGCCACCAAGCAGATCACCACCCCAGCTCACTTCTCATCCCGTGACTTTTTGGCCCGTAGGCACTCCACGGCAAGGGTGAGCCATTCCATTCAGTACTTACACTATGTCTAGAAAAAGAGCTTCTACTTGTTAAACGTTAGAACAACATGATGGGTTCTCACCTAACTTCACTGAGACATTCTGTCCTCATACTGAAGGCAGGAACCTTCATTCAGGTTGTAAACTGTGACTCGCACACACACGATGCTGAGTGTGACTTGTGCCAGGTCAATGCTGACAGTCAAGTCTTCATCAGTGCTGCATCACCACCCAATTATTTACGTACAGTGAACACTTTGTAGCATGGATTGAAGCTCCCTTCCCTCTGTGCTTGTAGATCTTATCTAGAGGAGGGCTGAACATTTTCAGCCTTTCTTAAGAGCAGAAATGGACACACAGGTTCCAGCTGCACATACGGAAATAAGAGCCTTTAAAAGACTTGCAAGCTGTCTGCAATTCAACCCGCACGGCACAGCCCTTCTTCCACTTCATCCACCAAACACCAATCACTGAAACAGACTTACCACATATAACTTGTGCCAGATAACTGCCCACTCCCTCAGGGTGGAAGTAAGCTCTTGCCCAAGCGGCAATTCACCTGGAATCACTGTTTCATGTTGTCTAAAGATGGAGAACACAGAAAGAGGGTGTTACAATTAATATCCATACCCAGTCATAAAACATCTTTCAGTTGTAAATACATAACTGGAGAAGCAGCCTAGATTTTCATACAATTCACTTATGAATTGTATGAACTCCACACAGTTTCTACATTGTTCCATTGGTTCTCCAACACATCATTATCCATTTTTAATGTGAAAATGATTCCAATTTCTTTCTGTCTTGTTACGTTCAATGGATCCATTCCAGGAACTCACTGCTAAATGGACAGAAGTTCTCAGCAATCACTGCTTCCAGTGGTAACTTGGCCACATACACTTAAGGAAAAAAAAAAAGAAAAAAGTACTTTCTTAAATCTCTTCCTATTGCAACTGCTATTTTCCGCACACAGGATTCATCACAGAATCCTTTGTAAGAATCAAATGAGGAGTCACTTCCTACAGCGTTTTCCAAGACAGGAAGGAGTCCACACTCCTGCTGGCTCCTTGGCTGTGAGCAGGAACACGTTAAGATTTGCAGGATTCCCCAGAGGGCTCCGTGTAACTTGTCTGTCCTGTCTTGCCACTAACTTGTCTAACAGACCTCTTTTATTTTTGCACACAGTATTCTCTTGCCTCTCTGCTCACAGATGTTTTGAGATGTACCACGCTCAGAACAAACGAGATCCAGAAGCTTAGCACAGTCTAGTAACAAAACTCATGACAACAACCACTAAAGTTTCTGCTTTCTTTTTAAATGTGTTTTCTTAAAACAACAACAAAATGAAACGGTGTTTCTTTGGTTCTGTTCTCAGAGCACATCTCAAAAAGCTCCAACCTACCCCCGGTCCTTCACGGTTGCCTCTTTTAAGTGGATATATGTTTCTGGGAAAATGCCCTAAAAATAAATAAATAGAATAAGTGAAAGCAAACAACAAATTACACTGTAGCATATGATGTAAGTGCCTTCAACAAAAAAGCAGGGGAAGGGGTAACGAGCACAAGCAGCAGGTATTTGCTGTTTACCCACAACAGAAAGGTGTTAGGTCAGCCAGACAGGGCATACAGGAGAACTCTGCCAGTGTTTAAGCCTTCTGTTTGATGTTAGCACCCCAGCTAAGTTAATCTGTTGCTTCTCTGTGTTGACACTCATCTTCCTGTGCAAAACACCGTAAGCTCTTGCAGACTAGCAGTTGTACCCAATGCACTTGCTACAGAGTGGATTTGTGGTTCTCTGGGAAAGCTCACAGCTTATGACAGCATCTGTAGGAATCCCAAGCTTTAACAGAACTGACCCTTCTAGGAGCATTCACTCCCCTTTAGGGCTGAAAAATGGATTCAGTAAAGTCCTGCCACATGAGAAGTGGCAGGACTCCTATGGGAAAAGAGATTCCATGCATTGTTCAGGCTGATTTTGCAAACCTCAAGCAGCCTGGCTGTGATCCATAGGTGTGTTATTTTTGGGATATTTTCTAAGTCAAATTAAAATCCTGATCTCACCATCATATAGTTAGCTCAATCATACAGTTAATGCTGGATGTGTTCATGTCCAAGACTGTAATAATGAAGCAATATGCTAGCATATACAGATATACAACAGTCAACTTCCTCACTTCAAACTGCATTACGCATGCCTACATTGGGGAAGTACCTCATTAATGGGTCTGAAACATTCACCTCAAGGGCATTTATTTCTATTGCTGAGGAAAAGAGGTATTGGTCAGGAGACCTGCATACAACAGAAATACAGCAGCAGCACAGCCTTTACAGTGCTGGATGGGGTCTGGTGAGGTGCAAAATGAAAATCAGCTACTGACAAGTGAGCTCATACCTTCTTTGATTTATTGCGGAGCGTGTATCCTCGGTACCAGCCTGTCAAAGAGAAACAAAAGCAGTTTTTTTTCCTATCTACAGCAGTTAAGTACACATTGTCATTCTCAGTGCAATCCTACAGCATTTATCTCTTGATCGTGTTCACTCGAGATCTGCTACTGAGCAGACATTTCTGTTGTCTGTAGGAAGCTTGGTCCTCAGACAGAAGGCAGCATGAACTGACATCCTCTATTTGAGTTACACTGATTGGGCTGAATACAACATCGGGCCACCCTGTGCTATCCATTTTCAGAGTGACAATCCTTGCTCTGCAAAGCTTATGAATTCCCAACACAGAATTATTGCTTGCAGCATCTGACAGAAGAGCACAGAGGCAAAGACAGCTATGCACACACAGCTCCTATACAGTTCTACTACAGAATGCAAATCTGCATTCTGAAAGTCAAGACACTCAGCAACCCCAAATCTGTTAGCCATGCTCTTGGAGCAACCCTTTTTGATTCCTCTGAATGCAGGTAGAGTCTTAGGAAACTGAAAACACCAATCCTACCTCTTGGAAAACATGAAGGTTAAAGATCATGGTGTTCAGTTATCAAGATAGACATCACCGATCCAAGATGATTATGATCAGTCAGCTGGCACAGGAAGCATCAAAATGGCAAGGAGATTTAAGAGAACAACAGGCAAAGAAGATGCCTTTAAAAATATATATACATTTATTTAAGCAAAGAAGATTCAATTCAGAGTCATGGATCCAGAGTTTCTCACTCTTGGAGAACAAACATGGGTTTGCTTTGTTTGCTGACTGCAGTTAGAGGAACAAAGACCTAAACCAGGAACATATTCAATGCAAACTTATTTGCATCAGGGAGAAGAGACTGGTCTGAATCACAGCGTGTGGGCACACATTCCTTCTATCCATGATGTGGCTATTTCCCATTTGCATAAAAGTAAGGATATATATTGCAGATTAGGGAAGATTCAACTCTGAACAGAAATGTACCCTCCTTCGCTCACCACCACTCAAGGGCGAACTTCCAGAGAAAGTGAAGTCTGCCCTGAAGAAAGTCTTCAAAGCTCTGAGGGCAGCAAGTTTCCTTCTCCTCTCAGACTCCGCAGAATGATCCCAATCTTGCAATACTTAGCAAACAGCAGGATAAGTGCTATTTATCTTATTACAAGTGGAAGAAGTCATTTTTGTACAAAGATCTCTCGCCCTCCTGCAGCCAGACGGCTATCCAGGGAAAGAAGGAAAAACATCGCAGTTTCACTCGGCACAGAGGTCTGCACCACAAACTACACCCACGACTTAAATTCACTTCATTGCTGTTAGCTTCTCACCCAGCTCCTCCAGCAGCTGAGCTGCAGCACTGTTATGTCTTGAAGCTATTTGGCCAGCTGAGAGTCAGATAACATTTGTTAACACAAAACTGAGCGTGAGCCTCAACCTTGCAGCCTCACTGTTAGAAACAAACTCTGGACTTCTTAAATCCAATTCTCCAAGGCCAGAGCTAGCCAAAACCCAGATGCAGAAGATAGAGAGCTTTCAAGTGAAGGCTGTTTCACGCACAGACAGCCTTCACTGAACACAGAGACATTCTGACTTCAACCAGGAGGAAAAATGGAAGAATTTTCTAGACAACAGAGCTGGAAGGGAACTGTAGTACAACAGCCCTCTGCTAACTCACAAAGATGCTCCTGTGCAGTCTGACACAGGCAACAATAGGAAGGAGTAAGATTTTCCAAGTCACTGCTACCATTACACAAGACCCTTTGGACAACCCTGACCCACTTAATTCCCTGCAGAACACACCAAGAGCTGCAGGGATAACTTACACCCAAAAGAAGAACTGAATGAGGCATCCCTGAGCCTTTCTTGCAAAGCCAACATCTTGATTAAAGGGAACTTTATTTTAATTGAGACTTGTGTATCCAGATAAGAGCAGCGATTACAGGAACAAAAACCCACTTATATTACACTGGAGTTATGTTTCTAAGTAGACATCATTAGCATAAGAAGAAATAGGGAAGTATTCTTTTAAGAACACTAATTCTCAGAAACACAACCTACAAATATCTGGAAACAAAGCAAAAGAGACAATAAGTCAGCAGAGCTTCCTTCCAAGCAGAGTGAGTTCTAAGTTTTTAAGATGAATTATATGGGAAATCAGACCAGTCCCAGAGCAGAGCCACCATCTCAGACAATCTGTATTTTTTCCATTGGGTCCACAAATAAATGTGTGGCTCAAATTTTTGGCTTGTGTTTCCAGGAAAAGTATCTAGTAGTTCTGCAGGAATTTCTAAGTCCTCAGCCACAAGCCAGGATGCCACACTGATGGCTCAGCATATGAAAGCAACTCTGATGCATTTGCTTTCCCCAACAATTTACACATCAGTCCTCTCAGGCTGAAGTTTCAAAGTGGGACGTTTCAGGTAAAAAAGGGATCTACTCATTTCCTATTCTTGAATGTCACTCCTGTTGAACAGCTTATTACAGACCAAGCAATAGGGCTGAGCAACAGCCCCCCTATACAAAACAAAGAAATAAAATGCTCCAACATTTTGGATCATGCAAGATGCATCCTTTTCATTACAGCAGTTTTTACTGATAAAGCAGCTCCTAAGTTAGTTGTATTAAGCAGGATATTCACCTCCAGCTCCAAAAATACTCCCCACTTTGACATATATCAGTCTAAATGCTAAATAGTCTGCTGTGCCACAGGGGAACCAGCTGCCCATTTCCATTGTCACAAAGAGAAATGGAAAGAGAACACATTGCTCAACAAGCAGCTCGTCACAGCAGTGATACTGAAGAAATTTTGTACAAAGAGTCTCTTCCAAACTGATGCTGCTTATGAAAATGAGCACATTTTTATTTTGGAAAGAGCATTTAGACTTTGGGGAGCGCAGACACAACATTTCAAATGAAGTAGGTACTAGATTGTTCTTTAATTAAATGGCTTCATTCCATTCTTTCATCTACCACCTCCTTTGTGACAGATCAAAGAACTAATTGGGGTTAAAAGTTACTTATTTTTTTCTTGTTTCAGCTGGATTGGTTCATCACATGACTAGGCACTGGGCCTAGCATAAGGAGGAGCTGAGATAAACAGGTGTGGTGGAAAACCAGGAATGAACTGCCAGAAGGGAAAGCATTTCCTTCTCCAACAGTGCTGCCTTGAGTTGCTGGTGAAATCTTACCTTGACAAACCTCTACCAGGAACAGCAGAGATGTGTATTTTAATACTCTTTAACAAAAAAAAAATAATTAAGCGCATCCAGCAAGCATCACACACCAAGCTTTGTGCATGGGAGATGTATCAGAAGTTCAAAACCTTGATCTGAAGTTTGCACCCTAGAAATGCTGAGTTGTTATATTTAGTTTCAAGAACACAGAGGGTGGTGATGCACTGTTCACAGGCTGCCCAAGGAGGCTGTGGATGCCCCATCCCTGCAGGCATTCAAGGCCAGGCTGGATGTGGCTCTGGGCAGCCTGGGCTGCTGGTTGGCGACCTGCACACAGCAGGGGGTTGAAACCAGATGATCTTTGTGGTCCTTTTCAACCCAGACCATTTTATGAACTACTGAGAAGTAGTAGGGAGTGATTCACAACCTACCTTCGTACATCTCCAAAATGTGAACAGTGTCGCCGACCTGCAGGGAGAGCTCCACATCTTGGACAGCATCATAGTTGTAGATTGCTAGAAAGGAAGGAGATGGGAGAGAGTTGAAAAACACATCAGGAAACCTTGAGGTAATCAGATTCTGAGATCTTGTACCTTATCAGCTGTCCAAGGCAGAATAGGATTTTGGAAAAGTGCTCTAAAGTTAGTAAGCTATCCTGTATGTATGGCACACTGTGTGCAGCGTATCTATGTCCAGATTTTATCATTGGCTCCTGCAAGCTTCACAAACATCCTTCTTACCAGCCCAGGTCAGTCTTTTACCTATAGGAATAAAGGCCCATGACAGCTGCCCAGAGGTCTCTATTACCCCAGGCAGAGGCTTTGGATCAATTAGATAATTGTCATTTTTTATTAGCATTTCACAGGGCTAACTATGACACAGCACTCACAAGCACAGGTAAAACACTATAAATATTCTGTCATAAGCACAAGTGGCACTGTGCTGTATCAAACAGTTCAGGCTGTTTGCTACAAATGGGTCTTCCTAGACAAGAACCTCAGCATGAAAACTTGAGATTCTCTGCAAATTTAATCCCTACCAAAGATAAAGCTAATCTGAATGCTTATCGGATTTCCAGCATGAAGAGGATTAAGTCCAGAAGCCCATGCCTCTCAACTGCCTTGTCCCTGGAACTTTCCTTCCACCTGGCAAAGCAGAGCTGACCTCAGAGCTTCCTCAAGGCCTGACAAGGCAAGAAAGCTGAAGCTGAATTTGCTTCCCAACCAATAAAAGTAAAAAGGTGCATAAAGCAGCAAGGAAAGCGCTTTGCTGCTGTTGAATGAATTGATAAATCAAGTCACATTACACCACTCCTTAGCGACATTATCTTATGTATTCAAACAATGGTGTGTAAGAACAGATGATAAAATCCACCTCTTACACGTAGCAACAGAGCCTTCTCAAATGTACTGCATTTACATCTCTAACTGCTTCTAGAAAGCTTTATCCCAAGAACAGCACAAACTTTTTCAGAGGACTATGGAGAAATTCATCTGGCTTCAGAGGCTCAGCACGTGAAGAACACTGCAAATTAAACACACGAACTCAGGCTCCTACGTCAGGCGACTCGCATCGAGCACCTCTCGGCTCCGTCACGATGAGGTGCGTTGCTTCCTGGCCAGGATCCAGCACAAACAAACGACTGTGGTTCACCACGCCGGAAATTATCTCACAGACGGTAACTTTCTTTAAAATACTGTAGCTATAAATAATCCAGGCGAGGCTGGCAGGCTGTGAGAATCCCCTGCAGGATCTGAAATAAACGCTGGTCACAGATGCTCCTACACTGCAAGGGCACTGCGTGCTCATGGTGGCTCCAAGTCATGCTGGCCGTACCCTCCAGTGCCTGCAGAGATCCACGTGTGCAACGTGCAATCTACGACACAGTCATCCGGAGGGCTATGGGTGTGTTACTGGACTTTTGCTCCTACACCATTAATTACTCCAACATCCAGGTTTCCCCTCCCTCCCCACAGCAGAGCTGTGAGCCAAGATAATCAGAACGGACTGCTGAGCTGCATATTCAGTTCAGACACCGAAAGGCCCCAGAAAAGGCCCGAAAGTAGAAACTTCCATCAATATTTTTGCAGAAAAACTTGTATAATGTTGAAGGGCAAAGTAAAACACAAACATACGCAGGAGGAGTTCAGAGTATTCCATTGAGCTCCAGCATGTATTGACAGATGCCGAGGTCACAAATTAATTGGAGAGAAGAACTGGTTAACGTTGAATGCAGCTCAGTTAAAAAGAAACCATTCTGCTAGATGCAGCAAATAATTCTGCAAGGATTTGCAGAGGTCAGCTTAAAGTGCAGCGCCCAACCCAAAGGAGACCAAACTCCCTGCAGCTTTGCCTCCTGCTGCAGTAACCCTGCCAAATCACTCCTAGCCCTAAGGCAGGGCTGGATGGGAGAGCTCCAAATCTCCCCCATGTGCAGCAGGAAGTGGTGTGCATCAATAAAACCATTCAGGCTTCCTAGCTGGGGATGCTGCAGTGCTCAGGAGGTGTCGTTCCCCAGGTGGAGTTCAAGCATCAAAGCCTATGGACAGACACTGACAATGCTTCAGCACTGGCAGAGTTAGGAGATTTAAACCACAGCACCTCAGCCAATTTCCAGCTCAGCTGATTGCATTCTATCCTGTGAAGTTTCCTCCTGTGGTTACAACCAGGCTGCCTCGCTTTCTGTCTTTAAATGCTGTTTGGAATTCTGGTTTCATGGCTGTGCTCCGCTTTTTAGGAATGCACACATGCTTATACACACAGGGATTCCCACGTGGGATTTCTAGATGTCTTGGGTTTTTTGGGGACAAACAGACATTATATAAATGCAAGTCTGTATTTTTCCATAAAGTGCCACTCAGCTCTGGACAAAAGCAGTCTGACCAGCAGCAAGTGCCCAGCAGAAAGGTGGGCGGGCATCAGAGCAGCCTTTCTTTGGAGAGCACAGACAGCTAATTCAAAAGCCAAGAGCACAAGAAGAGGGAGAAGCAACACAGCTCCCTTCTCCTCAAATAACACAACAGCCACAGCAGAAAGAGCCACTGCAGCTCCTTCTCTCCCCCTGCTTCCCATGAAAGCTTTCCCATCCCAACAGACAGCGTTTATAAGCCAAATGAACATGCTTTCACCACTGAACATCAAAGAAAAGCAAGATTTGTACCATCTCGCTTTGCTAGATTGAATTAAACAAGAACAGAGGGCCAGTGTACATAAGAACTCCTACCCAACAGTTATGTGCAAGGTTATAAAAGACAAATTGCTGGCATATTTTCCCTGGGAGCTTTGCTGTTTGCAACTGATGCTTCCTGCTGCTTCAAGCCAACCCCTCTGAAACAGTCCATCCACAGCTATTTGAACTAGTTAGCCTCTTCTTCATCGTGTGTATTTAATCTGACCCCTTTTCAACTTGAAAGAGAAAGGAAGCAGCACATAACAAACACTGTCATAGCATGAAAAAATAGAAATTCTGTATAGAAAAACCTGATGGTGCAGCAAGAAGGGAAGAAATAAGGGACTTCTGCCCCAGAATTTGTAGGAATATTGAACATAAATCTTTTCCCTTCAAGCTAAACTTGCTGAGATTTTGTCCTTTGAAATTCACTTCAGAACAGTAATTGTTCTTTTATTACCCTGAAAGAAAAGCAGCATTGAAGTCTCAACAAATTTATTTTGAGGAAAGAGACAGAGAAAGAAATCATGATCCAGGTAAGAGATACTGGGTGGTTTTAATGATCACTACAGGCAACGTATGGCATTATTTCATTCTTGTGAAGGAGTTTGTTAAACAAAAAGCAAGTTTAAGAATTATTTTCTCCAGCCCTTGCACTTCACTGGCAGGGAAGGGCAGAGCAGCAAAACCTGGCGCTGGTTTGAAGAGGGCAGCTGATAACTTTATGGCCGGTGACAGCAGGCAGAGTTATGCAGGGAGAGATAAGGAGAAGCAATTTTCATGCTTGAGGGCAGAAGGCAGATCCCCAAAACAGAGCGGGAGGAGCTCCACCAGCATTGTGCAACTGGGATGGAGGGCTGGATGTTGGGACACGCTGCTCAGTGCAGGAACATCACCCAGCAGTCATCGCCAGCAAGAAGGGCTGCAAAGGAAGCCCTGGAGGCAGCTGGGGCTTTCCAGCATTGCCAGGGCCCCACGTGAAGGCCAGCAGTGAGTTTCTGAAGGCAGAGTTTGATACGGGCCAGCACAGCGTGGGGTTAGGATGGGAAAAGCAGGTTTGGTTATGTCACTCCTCCAAGCGTACGAAGGCACTGCATTAATCACAGCGCGTTCCTGAACAGTAAGAAGCCTCAGTGTCATGCATGGGGTGGAAAACCAGGCAAAGCACAATTATACATATAGTTTTGGCAAATATTTCAGTGAAACAGTGTCAGGCTCATTGCCTTCAGCTCGTAACACCAACAGCCATTTGGAGGAAGGTGGCAATGCAGCCAATTCCAGTGCTGCAGACACACCTGCCCTCATTGGAAGAGCCGTGTCCTGCAGAGAGTAATTAATATCAACACGCCATGCAGGTAGAGTCATAGAATGGCTTTGGGTTGGAAGGAACCCCCAGGATCATCAAGTTCCAACCCCCTGCCACGGGGGGACCAACCTCCAGATCTGCTACTGGCCCAGGTTGCCCAGGGCTCCATCCAAGCTGGTCTGGAACACCTCCAGGGATGGGTAGCAGTTGTTCTCTTCTATGTGCAAAGAAACCAAGAAAAAAAAAAAAACCTGAACAGCACATGCAATTAATCTGAAGATAGCAATTAAAGATGAAAACCAACTATTAGTTCCTTGACCCTTTTTAATCTTAAAACCATAACTCATTTGCAGGACTCCTCTAAAGGGGAAGCTTAGCTATAGCATCTGAAACTAAAATGAAGGAGGCAGAAACTGCAGCATAACATTTTGTGTACAATTCGAAGTAGAGTAACTTGCTTAAATGCACTGGAAATGTGGATTACTGGCCTGGAAAACACTGCAAGATCTGTTATCTCTCACTTGGCTCAAAATAACCACCCCTCCACCCATTACAAAGACACGATAACAGCTTCCAAATGCCACTTCTCTGAAGCCTGCCCTCACCACTATCTGATAGCAGAGGGCTGTGCCTTGCTTCCTCTGAACAAAGACTCGCATTCAGTGCTGGAGCAATAACCAGACTTCATCTCATTACATCTTTCAACAGAGGAGTCAAAAACTACTGTATGGAAATAGAAGTATGTGCTTTTATGCTGCACCAACCCCGTGTTAAGCAGCAGCATTTAGGCTGGACAGCCCCATTTGGAGAAGCCTGGTATGCTGTCTGTTGCCAAGACATATCCAAAAAAACAGTGGTTTTATTTAAAACCAAGGAACTGTCCAAGGAATTAATTCTTATTGGGAACAAAGGCTTTTTGATGTCGGAGCAAAAACCTTCTTGTAACTGCCCAGGAATTTATGTCTGAAGAACTGAAAACAGCATAATTAAGATTTATATGCAGTTTGAAAAAATAAAAATAAGAGGATGTGGTTCAACAC